ATGTACATGCTACATACATATACAGGCATACATACATATGCTTGTACATATGTGTATGCATGGGCACACATAGACACGAACTGTTGCTTGTTGTATGTATGTGTGAGTATGTGTATGTGATGTCCCCAACTATTTGATATTTGATATACATATGGCAAGTAAAAAACATATTGCTATATTTTAATCGTTGAATGCCAATTTGTTGATATAGTTATGTTGATAACATTACCCAAAATTGAAATCGATCGGACAAAATGTATAACACAAACTATTCATTTGAAAAAGTGAATAAATATAAAAACCCCAACAATAAAATTAAATGCGATATATCGAAAATATCGATACTTGTGTTGATATATCGTAATACATGTCGAATACAAATACAACGAAAAAAAACGTTTGAGAGTTATTGATTATAATACTGTATTCGATTATTCACTGTACACATATGTACATAAATACATACAAATGTATTTGCATGTGTACGGTAACTGTAAACTTTTGGCATTTTGCGTATGCAATTAACAGCCGCAAATTATCAAAACGAAAGAAGATTTGCGAGCCAATAACTTGTTGTTGTTGTTGTTTTAAAAATTTTGATTTGAAAACATAGAACACTATTTATTACAATTAAACAACAGTGTTCGATGGCCCACTGCATACATACAAACCTATATATGTATATAAGAATGTATGTACGTACATACATACTTATTGATGTACATATGTACATACTATACATACAGACGTATGTACATATGTATGTACGTATGCAATACATATGGTGCTGGTGTAATTCATAATGCGAAATTCTTTCTAAGGGGAGCAATGTCCCCCCTGCCCAACCAGCGTACGCCTTGTAGTCCGTTGTCCTAAAAACCCCTTATGCCAAATGTACTAAACAAAGAAAAAATAACATAAAAATGTTTATGTTATAATGTTAATAATTTTTAATTAATTAACATTTCTTGCCCTGTCACATACATACATGTGTACAAATGAACATTCATACATTACTGTCTCACATTTTGCTTTGGCTACTTCAACCGTTTGCACGCAACTACACGAACAGCTGCTTGTATGTATGTATGTGTGTGTGTGTGTGTATGTATACTTAGTTGTCCCCAACTGTTTGATATTTTGTATTGTTTGTTCTGCCTGCATTTGTAAAATGCATATTTTAAAAATCGTTAAATGCAAAGTTGTAATTTTAGTTACGTAGATTATATTACCCAAATTTGAAATCGATCGGACAAAATTTATAACACAAACTTTTCATTTGAAAAAATGAATAAATATTAAAACCCCAATAATTCAAGCTCCAACACAAATTTCCGAGTATGCAGTTTTGTTTGTATTCTTTTATAGATTATAAAAACCAAATTTAAAGTTGATCGATTCAGAAATGCAGAATTTTCAAACAAACTTTGGAGCTACTTTTCCCCCCTTTGGAGCTCGAATTTTCCACCTACACCACTGAAGACAACATGTGTCAAATTTTCAGCCTCCTAGCTCTAACCGTTTGGGCTGTGCGTTGATTGCACATAGCTTTTCGTTTACCGAATTTTCCACCGAAAAATCATTATTTTTCAGGCCGCAGGAAAAATATTGAAAAGTATACAGTTTTTTTTGTATTCTTTGTGAGAATATACAAACTAAGTTTGAAGTTAATCGGATAAAAATTGTAGATTTTTCATACAAACGTTGGAGCTTGTTTTCCCCCCTTTGGAGCTCGAATTTTCCGAAACCCCTTCTTAGTGCTCACTTTTACTATAAGAGGGATCTTGTGTCCAAATTTCAGCTTCCTAGCTCTTACCGTTTGGGCTGTGCGTTGATTGCCAATCAGTCAGTCAGTCAGGACAAACTGTTTTATATTTCTTTCTGATCAACCAAATCAATCATCAATAATAATCTATAATCAAACTTGGTATACGGATATATAATTACTAACTGGATGTGTCTACCAAATTTTAGTTTAAAATTCCAAGAATTACGGCTACACATTTAATGTTAATTGCAAACATTTAATGTTAATTGCAAACGCAAAACGCCAAAATGTTGCAGTTACCGTCGCTAGGCAACGACTGCGTAAGCGATAGTAAAGCAGAAACCGAATAACGGAGCCACGCATATTCTGCTTCGCATTGCGGGCAGATGTATGTATGTATGTATATGATTTGTTCTTATTGATCTCAATAAATAATTCGATTTAATTATTTAAATATTCTGCTTATTGCATTCAAACTTCGATATTTTGATGGTATCGGTGCCATTGCTTTTTGATCGTGGCTCATCGCTGCACGGCATTGACACGAGTGCCGTGTTTCATACAAGGTGCAATTCAAAAGTTCCAGGACTTTTATTAAAAAACGAAAACAATTCTTTTTTTTTTGAAAAATTTATTTAGTTTTCCGAAAAGGTAGAAGTCACACGGTGCCATATCAGGTGAATACGGCGAGTGGTTAATGGTTGAAATGTGATTTTTGGTAAGCCCAAATGTTCGGTCAAAATGCGATTAATCGATGTTTTGGAGATGTTCAATTCCATTTCCATCAATTTCAATGATGATTTCGGCTGATTTTTGATGAATTCACGGACTGTTTTCATGGCATTTTTGGTGATCACGAATTTTGATTGGCCCACATGTTGATCGTCATTTATGTCCTCACGACCACTTTGAAAACGTTGAAACCACTCGTGCACTCTGCTACGGGATAGGCAATCATCGCCATAAACTTGTTTCATCAATTGAAACGTTTCGGTAAAAGTTTTACCAATTTTAAAATAAAATTGAATGTTGGCTCTTTATTCGAAGCTCATTTTCGCACCTATAACACAAACATACTGACACTTAAAACGCAATAACTTCACTTCCAGTCGATGAAATTCTCACTGGACAATCGATAAAGATAGCCGATTCTAACGCACCACATACACCACGACATATAGATAGCGCCACCAGGGGGCGGTAGATTCAAAAAGTCCTGTTTACTTTGGAAAGCACCTTGTATAATGTGGCAACAACAATGGCAACATTATACAGGTAGTTACCACACTAGCTGACCAGACACTAGGAGCACTGTTCCCCAATGTTGCAACCACCTCCTACACCTCTTCCAGCAGTCTAAATTAGTGCTCATAAGTACACGTGAGGAACAGCATTCAAGTACACATGCCACATGTAATCATTTCACACGCACAATCGCGGTCATTTTAATTAGCACGATTGCATTTTCAACACGTAAACGCAATTCGAATTATAAATCAACTATGCCGATAAACGGAGACTGGCGTCATTTCACATGCATACATATATGCATACACTTATGTACATAAACAACATACATATGTATGTGCATATGAAATTCATACATACATAAATATTAGAGATGGCATGAGTCGACATTTTTCAGCCCGACGCAGCCACGAACTGGAACTTTAAGGGAACTCACGCGCCGGCACGACGAACATTTTTCGTAACACGGCCCAACATTAACAAATTATACCAATTAAACTAACATTATACATTAAATAATGTAAATAAATTCCAAATTAACTGATAATCGAAAATACAACGTAACCGATAAGCTTAAGAAATACATCGATACTTTTAAGGAAAACGAAAAAGAATAAAGATGGATGAGTTGTTCTAGAGTCACCGTACAGTAAAGAACATAGACGCTACAGTCAAGCAAGCCCGACAGTAAAATATCCTGTACTCTCCGCAAAAATGCAAAATTAAAATAAATTACATAAATAATTTAAATTAAATAAGATTTATTTAATACATACATAGAAGACATGTTTATGTACAGTTTCAACAGCATACATTTACATCATCGTGTCTCTGCGTGTTTATATGCGTGTATGTATGCAGCACAAAGTTGAACCAAAGCAGCACACAACAACAGCTGCGGGCAGAGCTACAAGCAGAGCATGGGCAGCGATTTTATTTATGGGTATAACTTTCTTCAGAATTGACCTATCATGAGTTATGGAGTTATGCTTGTCACCCTGATCAAGAATATATATACTTTGTGGCAGACCCCACGCCTCCTTCTGTGTGTTACATACATTCGCACAAAACTAGTATAGCCTAGCCTTTTACCCTTTGGGTACAGGCTATAAAAAATAAACTCGACCTGCCTAGGACTTAGGGGAACCTCGATACCAAGTTTGGTGATTCTAGCTCTTGTACTTCCTGAGATTATTGCGCATGGCAGACCCCCCAAAGTATATATATATTCTTGATCAGTATAACAACACGAGCTGATATAGCCATGTTCGTCTGCCCGTTTAACTAAATGAAAAGATCTCAAGACGTACAAGAGCTAGAATAACCAAACTTGATATTCAGGTTCCCCCAACCCCAAATCAGATAATGTTAATGTTTTTTCTTTATTTAATGAACATGAATTTCTGAAGGAAAATGGTTAAATTCTTGTTTTTTATATTCAAGAAAATATTATACTTGAATGTTTAATGGCTTTTAGGGGAACTGTTTCTGCAAAAAATATTGTTCACAAGACAGTTGTCAGACTTTGATCAAAGCTCTAGAAATAACTCTCCTCTATAGCGAACAAGCACAATACATACTAAACGAGTACATGCCCATAAAATATAGTGATCTTGACTATAAGTCGGCCCTAAACAAAGCTCAAAAGCTCAACAGAGTTATTTTTATAAGCCTCAACCAGCTGTTATTATTTATTGACATTGCGTATACGCACATAAAGCCTATTAGGCGTCAGTAGCGCCTCACAGTCGCCGTTTCAACGTCACGCAGCGCCATGTCTAGGGCCAAAGTGTGTGTGTTTGTGTTTGTCAGCGGCCTAGTGACCCTCGGTCTACCCCTCGCTCTCTCCCAGTCGGACACCGTGTGCCGCATTGTCCTGCGCAACGGTCTTAAATGTCAGGTACATCGTGTGCAGACCGCGGACGGTTATCAATTGACAGTGCACCGGATTCCGCCGCCGAGGAATCGCACGTGTCCTGTTCTGCGTCCATTCCTGCTGATGCACGGACTTATAGGTTCGGCCGGAGACTTTGTGACGACGGGTGGCGCACGCGCTCTCGCTTTTCGGTTACACTTGCGCTGCTTCGACGTATGGATGCCCAATGCTCGGGGCACGACCTTGTCACGAAAACATAGAACTCTGTCAGCAGATCAGCCTGCGTTCTGGGCATTCACCTGGCATGAGATTGGCATCTTTGATCTACCCGCGGTATTAGACTATGTCCTAGCTATCACTCGCCAACGCCAACTGCACTACGTGGGTCACTCTCAAGGCACCACCGTCCTTCTGGTGCTGCTCGCCCAACGGCAAGACTACAACGGTCGACTGGCTAGTGTGTCGTTAATGGCGCCCGTCGCCTTCTTGAAGCACTTAAGCAGTCCGCCCTTAAACCTGCTGGCCAGCAATACTTTGGTAATAAAAAAAAAACAACTCATTATTTATTAGTGCTTTTTTATAGCTCCGGCAATTCTTGAAATTTTTTAGTCATATTTGGCAATTACATTCAGTTAGTGCTTATATATCCTCAGGTTTCATCATGATATTCATAGCACATTGATCCATTCTGTTTGAAAATGGGAAAACAATTTAACGAAATGACACCAGCTTTACGGCTCGAAGAGTCCGAAAAAAAGAAACACAATCCTGAAAATACTTTTTCAAACCAGTTTCTAAAAGCGTATATGTATGATGTCATCAAATTTAACGACTTGCAAGTTTTGATGCTAGATTGTAGCATTTTTCAGGGGCTATGTAAAATATTTTATCTATACTAATATTATAAAGAGGAAAGATTTGATTGTTTGTTTGAATTGAAAAGGCTCCGAATCTACTGGACCGATTTAATGGATTCTTTCAGTGTTGGGAAGCTACACTATCGACGGTTAACATGGGCTATATTAAATTGTCAAAACAGAATGGAATCCTTACTAAAACGCCAATAATGTAACCAAAGGTGTAAACAAATTACCTTAAACAAGAAAAGAATGCTAAAGTCAACTCTTAAATACCCTGCACCACCCACCAAAAAGGAAAAAATGAAAAAAAAGAAAAAATTTTAAAAAAATTGCTAAAGTCGACCAAGCTCAACTCTTAAATACCCTGTACCTCCCACCAAAAACAAAAAAAAAAATGAAAACAAATTTTTTTTTAATAATTAAAAAAAAGTTATATTAATTAAATTACTTAATTAAATTAAAGACATGTTCATCTACATTTACATCAGAATCGTGTCTGTAAGTATGTATGCAGCACAAAGTTGAACCCAAGCAGCAACAACAACTACAGCTGCGGGCAGCGCATGGGATTTTATTTACGGCTATAACTTTCTTCAGAGTTGACCTATCATGATGAAACTTGGCATACGGACACATCACTAACGGGATGTAGCTACCAAATTTTAGTTGAATTGCGGGGGAGTGGGGGGTGTATCATACAGCCGGACGGACATGGCTACATCGACTCGGCTTGTCACCCTGATCAAGAATTTATACTTTGTGGGGTCTGCCACGCCTCCTTCTGTGGGTTACATACATTCGCACAAAACTAGTGTAGCCTTTTACCATTTGGGTACATATTAAGGCAATATTATTCAAAAGCCCCCAGCCAAATAAAAGATTACGAATCGATCGACACCGTGAATAATGTTGAAGACCACAAAAGATAACATCAAATATATTTTACCGAGAAAGAATAATAAAAAATCTAAAAACGAACAAAAAACCAATAAAATAATAATATCCAAAATAAATTTTACTCCTTCTTTGTAACTCATAGCAAAAAATGCATAGTTTTTCAAATTTTTGTAAAAATACCCGTGCGAAGCAGAGGCAGGACGCTAGTTCTCTATATTAATTTTTGTTGTTATTACTACAAAAACTTTCATTCAAAAAAAATACAATCACCTTAAAAAATGATGGGGTTATTAAAAGCTAGACACTAGAGATGTCTGTTGGGGAGGTCAATAGGGCGCGTTCTTCTCAGCCTCCTCGCCGTTGATAACATCGCCAATTTTGGCGACATTCAAATCCGACTCTATGTTTGATGCCAATATTCCAACGTTTTGTCCAACGTTTTTGCGCTCGAAGCTGCATGTAAGCATCTGTGCCTGGCCAGGATGGCTGTGTCATCTGCTAATGTTGCGTTGGCTAAGTCCTGTGGACTTTCAAGTTATATTTCAAAGCCAGTGGACATGTCGTGCGTGAATAGCGTGTACAGGAAATCGAATAGCATATGATGTTAATTGTCAATTTCTGAGTGTAATTCGCAGCCTCTCGCTATAGAATGCAACTCACATATATTATGTAGTATTTTGTATTTCATCCACAGCGTCTGCTAAATCAACTGGGCTTACACGAAATATTGCCCGCCTCGGCGCTAACTCAGGTGGGGGGTCAGTTCATCTGCAGTGCCACGCTGCCCACCTATGCGCTCTGCACGCTCTTCATCTCCCTCTGTGTGGGCTTCAGTGACTATCCGGCGGATCGTGTGAGTATGCGCAATAATTTCAACAAAGCAGCATCCAAAACTTTTGTTGTATGCAAAAGTTTTTATTGCACTCAGGAGTACCCCAGAAGCCCAGTCTCACGCCCACACACACACACTTGTATGGAGGCAGACATACGGCTTTCCGTTAAAGCAGCTTTAGGTTTTGCAATAAAAGTTATTTGAATTTAAATGCGTAAACGAGCTGTCCAGCCTCCGACATCTCCATCCGCTACCGTCCTGCCAACATTTGTTCTATTTGTTCTGTAATGTGCGCCAAAAGGTGCGCAAAACTTTTGCCAACGAGCCTGCATGCCTTTCTGCCATCCTGCCTACCTGCCTGTCGCTCCCCGTTCTCCACTTTCGGTTAACTACACAACACATTACGTTACGTATACGGCATGTTGCCTTAAACACTTTTTGTTTTCACACGGCACATTTAAATTTTGTTTTTCCATGAAATATGGCAAATAAATCGCGCTCGTGTGCAAGTACGCGCCGTTTTATATTTGCAAAACTTTATGGCTTATCTGTGTAGTGTGGGGGGTATGGAGCGGTATGTTGAGGCGGGACTGGCGTTGTGGGCGCGAGTACTCCAAAGAGCTTAGCTTAGTGTAGTGGGCACTGAGTGTGGCAGGAAAGCAAGTGCGAGTTTCTACCAAGTGGCTGTTAGTTATTAGGGTAAAGGGCCTGGCAATTGGCTTTTGGACCGTATGGCTAAGCAAAGCCCATTTCGTATTGCATTTGAATCCGGGTTTACAGTTTTTTATGGGAAGGCAAAGTGTAGGACAGATAGATAGCTAAGGCGCAACGTGCTTTGGATACCTCAGACATGAGGTCGACCTCATCCTACATTTCCATACAGACAAAAGCACACAACTTGGCACACAAAATTCGGCTAACGTTAAATGCTTTGAAGCATATTGTTGGAATAAGCAAGTAAAAAAGACTAAGTCGGGTGTCCCGACTTTGAAATACTCTAAATGTTTACAAAAATTATAGAAAATAAAAAAAAGTAGTAAAATTAAAAACAAGAGAGAACGCTACAGTCGAGCAAGCCCGACAGTAAAATAACCTGTACTCTCCACAAAAAAGGAAAATTAAAAAAGAAAAAATTAAAAAAAAAAATTATTTAAAAAATTGAATTAGTTAATTAATTAATTAAATTAAATTAGAAGACATGTTTATGTTCAGTTTTAACAGCATTATAAATGTATGCTATGCCTATGCGTGTTTATATGCGTGTATATATGCAGCACAAAGTTGAACCAAAGCAGCAACAACAACAACAGCCGCAGGCAGCGCATGAGCAGCGATTTTATTTATGGCTTTAAATTTCTTCAGAATTGACTTATCATGATGAAACTTGGCACACAGGCACATAAGCACTAACTGGATGTAACTACCAAAATTTGGGAAATACCCCCAGTTAGTCATTATGTGTTGGTATGCCAAGTTTCACTATGATAGACCGATTTAACAAGAAGTTATAGTCATAAATATATTTTCTGCCCGCTGATGTTGTTGATGCTGATGCTTTGGTTGATTGCAAACATGTTTACACAGACACGAATGCGCATAGGCATTCATACACTCGCATAGACGCAATTGTTTTGTATATGTGCAATTATACACCCTTTACGTGAGTTCGAATATCAAGAGAGGTAAAATCGATCCAAATTTTTATAGCCTATACCCAAAGGGTGAAAGGCTATACTAGTTTTGTGCGAATGTATGTAACACACAGAAGGAGGCGTGGCAGACCCCACAAAGTATATACATATATTATTGATCAGGATGACAAGACAAGTCGATATAGCTATGCAAGGGCATGTTTGTTCATTTCCCGATGCACCCCCCCCCCCCCACTTCGCCGCTATTCGCGATTTTCTATAACTATAACCGTTATTCTTGGAATTTTAAACTAATTTGGAATAATGGAATATTTTATATTTAATTTAATGAATTAAATTATTTTAATTAATTTTTTTTGTGGGGTGGTGCAGGGTATTTAAGATTTGAGCCCGCTCGACCTTAGCATTTAACAAGAGAGGGTTAAACTTCGATTTTTATACGAATCAAAATTATGATTAAATGATTACCAATCTAAAATATATAAAACAAATACACATTTTAATGACAACATCAAAAATGAATACAAACATACCTTATCCGATAAGCCCCACCGAGAAATTTGACCGCTAAACGATACATTTACACTTACAAAGTTTGGACAAACATCGATGGATCGACGATGTTAAAAGCTTCGTCGAGTTTTACATCTTTAGTGAGAGAATAATTTAAAATTGTGTTAAAATAAAGGAATCCGTACCTATTAAAGCTTACAAAATAAACAAGTAGAGAAGCTAAAGTTGGGTGTCCCGATTTTGAAATACTCTGTACATATGTATGTGAAGAATAATTATGCGTGTGTCTGTGCAAAGCATTAACAACTTAGCATACAGACTCATCATCACTAACTGGAAGTATCTTTCGAATTTCAACGAAAAATTCCAAGAAATAGGGGAGTTGTAGGAGAGGGAGGGAAATTCCAAAATACACATTTTATACGTATTCATATAAGGCATATGGGACTAAAATTTGGTGACCCTAGCTCTTTTAGTGATCTCAGACACTAAGCGATTATACGAATCGAGAACGGGGAAAACCCCCATAGGGGGGAAGTGGGGGGTTTCACCTTCACCTAGCACCAATTTGTGTCCACTTACCAATCTAGCTTCGGATTGCCGAACTGTATGGGAATGCAGACGCGTGCCATATCTATCAAAGTCGTCATAGCTCCCATGAATTTCCCATGCCTCCTCCTTCCCGCCAACCCACACACAGTCACACCGTGGGCTACAAAATTGCTGTGCAAATACCGAAGTAGTTGTAAATGGGAAGACGAAGGCGGGGGATGTCCGTGTCCACATCCAAGTGGAGCGATACTTGTGACAACTGCCGCCAACATTACATGCCACAATATGCTCACATAGAAATAAATATTTGTGCATATTTAGCTTAGCTGTTCTTTATACCCCACTGCCATCGCCATATCCATCCGACCAACCACATGCCATAAAGTTCAACAGACTTTGCAACTGCAATGCGTCGCCGTTGAGTGGCAACCCGAGTGAACTTCGAAGCAGCAAAGGAAGAAAAGAACTGGAATACAAACAAGCTGCCGGCTGTGCAGCGACACACAAAACTATTTGCCACAAGTTGCAGGACGAATGGAGAAAAAAAGAAAAATGTGCAAAGCAGGACTGGTAAGCAGCACAGGAAGGGAGGGGAAGTGGCAGCTGTAGCCATGGCGGCAGCAAGCGGAAAATCAAATAAACATCAAAACAAAAATATGTCGCCGCTGACAGGACGTGGCCTGGCTTGGCATGCAGTGGCATGACGGCAGACGCCACAGGACACGCTCACAAAGCACACACAGAACCACACAAGCACAAGCATCCAGGCTAACTTGAATGGCTGTCATTTCAATTTAAAGCGAAAGGGATTTACATGAGCTTATAAGTATTTAGGGGCGGGGCACAGGCACCTGTTAACAGCCCGATTGGTTTGGGCCCTGGCTTACGAGTAAGCGGGTGCGGGTCCTTGAGATCGCCAAATAAGCGACTAATTTTATGTGAGCATAATGGCAAATAAAATTTTGTTACCCGTCCCAGCTGCGACCCAACAACAAACTCAAATAAGTCAAAGCAATGGCTACTTGCGTGTGTGTGTGTGTGTGTGTGTGTGTGTGCGTGTGTGTGATTACGTTTGTTGGTGCCTGAATGTGCATGTGTGTGGGTGCGCACTTCCGCGTCTTTTATGTTGCGTCGTAACGGAAATAGCAGTGCACACACACACACCCACACGCACACATACATGCAGCAAGCATTGCCATCTGACCAAGTGGCGTGTTTCCGGCTCGTCGAGCAGCGCTTTAAATTTGAACGTCGAAACCAATTTAAACCTTTAATTCCCACACAGCATATCTTCTCACACGTTCTGGAGACCACTCCCGCGGGCCTGTCGCTGCTTCAGCTAAAACATTTTGGACAACTGATCAATGCTGGTAAGTTCATATGGCTCGAAACTTGCCTTCAAGCCTTCAAGCTTCCATTTGTCTGTACTCGCGATACATCACAGTTTTTTAACTGAGCTTAAAAAACTACTAAAGTCGCTCGAACATAGGATGGATGGTGGATATGCAATTTTTCTCCCTCCCCTCCACTCCTCCGCCATGAGTAATTTTCCATAAATCCCTTCAAACCTGGAATTTTAATTTAAATTCGCTATCACATCCATTTGGTGCTTGTCAGCCATTATTTTACGCAGTCGCACTAAACTAGTATATGTTTTACTCTTTGAGTCCAGGTTATACAAATATTTTTAAATTTATTATACCCTGTACCCGTAGGGTAAAAAGGGTATATTAGGTTTGTGCAAAGTATGTAACATGCAGAAGGAAGCATCTCCGACCCCATAAAGTATATATATTCTGAATCAGCATGACAAGAGAAATCGATCTAGACATGTCCGTCCGTCTGGATGAACGCAAGGATCTCAGAAACTATAAAAGCTAGAATAACCAAAGTTGGCATCCAGATTCTCCTAGGTCCGAGAAAGGACGAGTTTATCTTATTTTTTTTTAATTTTCCCCCCCTTCCCTCGCTACAGAATTTCGTCCATAGCGTCCACATTTCAAATGCTACCTAAACCAAACTTTGCACACATAATTTATAAATAAATATCTACTGTTGTTTAAAATTTTATTCAATTCTGTCGATTCTAAGAAAAGTTATTAGCGAAACAAATTCTCGCCAGTACAACCCCCACAAACTGCAGCAACAAGTTCGCTCTTCTTCTTCCTCTTTTTGCTGCTGCTTTGGGCGCATATAACTCAGTGACGGAAGTTTACCTGGGTACAGGGTATTACACTGTCGGGCTTGCTCGACTGTAGCGTTCTCTCTTGTTTTGATGTAATATTCTTTTGTTTTTAATGTTTAAAAATGTATATTAAAAAAATACGGTTATTGTTTTAATTGATGTTGATACAGGGTATTTAAAAGTTGAGATCACTCGTCCATAGTAGATATACATATACTATATGCCCAACTATAACAAATAGTCCCCTTCAAGTGGAAAAGCTAAAGTTGGATGCCCTGGCTTTGAATACCTGTGTACGACTAAACACATTTAAAGAAACAAAAAATATTAATAACAATAGTTTGGGTAATGCATATTTGAACTGGTGTAACTCATTTACATCGGAATTGTGTCTGTGTGTGAGCATGTGTGCAGTACAGTGTTGAGCCAAAGCAGCAACAGCAACTCTTGTACCTCTCAGGTACAGAGTACAACAATTTGCTCTTGTTCTTCTCAGTGAAATATATTTGAGTATTGGTATGGACAATATTTTTACTTTGTCCTTTTCCATTTCTGTACAACACCAACTGCATTTCAGGAAACTTTCAGCAGTACGATTACGAATCACCGATTTTGAACATTCAGCGGTACGGGCAGACGACACCACCGGTCTATCAGCTGAGAAATGTACATGTACCGCTGCTGCTCTTTTACGGAACCCGGGATGCACTTGCCAGTCTGCCGGATGTGGCAAGACTAACCCGAGAGCTGAGCAATAGTCGTGTTACGTTGTATCAAGTTCGCGGCTACAATCACATTGACTTTATCTATGCCAGTTCGGCTCCAGTATTTGTTTACGAACGCATTATCTACAATGCTTGGGCTTTGGACACTGGGGCCAACAGCCAGTAGCAGTGCTTGCAATATACATATATATCCGTCCATACGAACGCAAGGAATCCGTAAAGTATGAAAAATATAATAACCAAACTTGGTATCCAGATTTTTCCAGATACGAGAAAGTTTATCTTCACACCCATTTCCCCGGGATTAGTGATTTTCCATATCTCTCGTAATTCTCGGAATTTTTACTCAATTTCAACAATTATATCAAGATAGCTCTTATCTGCCTGTATCCGTTAATTTCAAGAACACAAACACAACAAAACACGATAACACTTGTCATGAAGACACATACATACATATGTAAGCAAATTTGGGTAAACAGTTATAATGTTATGTAAAAATCACTTCGGGCTTAGGGGAATATGAATACTAAGTTTGCTGATTAAATCCCTTATACTTTCGGTGATTCCCGCGATAATACAGGCAGACATACCTGTAGCTACTATATATACTTATGTACATAGATTCAAAAATTGATATTTGTTGCACTGCCTTGGTAACACCCTAATTCGTATTTTTTTATGGCTGCAGTCTAAACACAACTCTGTACTCACTCCTATTGTGCGAATGAACCTGAACTTTTCAGGTACAGAGTATAATTAAATATAATTAAACAACGAACAAAGACATGGAAACTCCATAAATACATTTAGTATACGATATGTAAGTATTTTACAATAAATCAATTTTACTAAGATGTTGACTGCTTACATAAATAGAATCTTGAAATCGACAAACCAACAAGATTTGTCTGTTTTTTTTTTTTACATTTAAATTATATTGCGTTTTGTGTATATACGAGAAAACAAGAAGTAAACACAAGCATGGAAAACAGACCTCATAAGCTTCGTATTTTTACATTAAACAATTATGTTAATTATATCATACAATACAAAACTACATGGAATAATTGCTATTTTGCCTTGGGTATAAGGGTGGGTGTCGGTGTTCATGTTATGTAAGTGCGTATTAATACACTCTGCTTAGCTCAGTTCAAAGCCAACACCGGACTGAATGGCATAGAGCAACTTTTCGCGCATTTGTTCAATTGTCTTAAAAGGGGGAAGCTTCAACAGATTCGTGCATGTACTGGCTGTTGGTAAGCGCTCCATGTCGCCAGCATTTTGAATGAAAAATGGCGGGTCCAAATCCTAAAATAAAGTGAGTGTATGTAATAAGCAAGGGTTGTGCTATCTGATTAAAAATATGTTTACCTTAAATCCCAAAAGCGGCGGACGCGAACAGCTGGTGACAAACTTCAACAGCTGTCGACGTTGCAGATCATCAAAACTCTCCAAGGCCGACCAGAATACAACAATTGATGGATGCTCTGGCGAGTATTCGCCACCATATTTGCAATGCTTCTTCAAATCCTCCAGATCAATGGGAATTTCTGCACCGGATATTAGTATTTGTAGCTCCTTGTTGCTGAACATGTACAGCCATTCGATTGGCAGTACATTGGACAGACCCTTGCGAAAGGCGATGCAATGTCGCCTGATTTGCACATTCAGTTTGTAATCCGCAATGAGCTGGAGATACTCAATTCGATTCGAATTAGTCACTGGTGTGACCTGACCCTGTGCCTTCAACTCTACAATTTGGGTTTGGCCTAGCGAGCTGCTAGCCACCGTGAAATCTAAATTCAATTCGCTCACATCGCCTGTGTAGTCCTTGAGATAGAGCAGATTTCGATAGAGCTCTGGATCTAGAGATGCTAGCTGATGCATGTCCACATCGGAGTATTTGCCAGCCAGCTTAGTTAGAAAAAACTCTGCCAGGGGTAACTCAACCAGCAAGTTTTCATAAATGGCCTTGCCCAAAATTCGGCCTATGAAATAATAGTGTTTCTCGAAGTCGCTAAATAGGTCAGCAACATTGGGGTTGGGGTAGAGCTTGTTGTCCGTAGTGACCCTAATAATGTATATGAGCTGATATTAAAAAAATTCATTACACGACTCTATAATCATAACTTACATAAAGAAACCCCGATTTGGATCAAAAGCTGTTTTTATGAGCTCGGAAAGAAACTCCCGAAACACGCCACCGCCATCAATGCCTGCCTCGTCCAGCCCCAACGGAGACACGAACTGTATACGAAATTTTAAGCGCAGGTCCGGTTCTGTAAAAGTTATTTTCATTAGAAATGGTTCGCCAGATTGGATATTCTATTATATATATATATATAAACCAATAACGAAAGTACACAATGTTTTGAATACTAGCGACTTAATAAAGAACATGTATGTTGAAATTACTCTGATACTGGAATTTTTTTGATTTTCCGATTCACCCTTTTGCACCAGCTTACCATTTTCCGGCCGCAACTTATCGTAAGCATCCTCGTACAGATGCGAACGTCTTACGGTTATCATAATCGAGGGTCCCTGTAAAAATGCCTGCAAATGGCCCTGCACGCGCATCTTGTTGGCAGCCACTAAGCCCTGAAGAATGCTAACACGCTTGTTGAATGCCACTACAAATGGTATCTCCCGCAATATGGTAATGGAGCGAATTTGTTTGGTGGACATGGGGGGTCCATTCTCAAAATCTTCTCGCGTGAAGTCACGTATGGGTTGAAACGGCCGAATACCCCGCAAACGACTACTATGAGTCAGTGGCAAGTCCGTTGGTCGGTCCAGCGGCAAATCCAAACGACTAACTGTCCAATGTCCTTCCGGACAAAAACCTAAGCGCAAGTCGCGTGTATGTATTTGATTAAGCACAAACACAACAACATTGAGCAAGTTGGCCCAGATTTGTTTTTGGTGACGGAACTTCTTGTCATCTGCCTCTGTATGGCCGAGCACACTGCGATAATTCTGCAGATTGGTGCGCGTCTCTGGAAAGGCCAGCTCTACAAGACCCAAGCTAATCTCCTTGAGCGTTTTGGACATTTGCACAATTTCAGCAATGGAAAAGGGCATGAGGCGCACATGTTGTATTGTGGCAGGTGTGACAAGCAATTTGTTTTCCACAAACTCCACATCGTGCAGTGTTGGCAGCAAACGTCCAAAGAGCATGCAGAATGTGGCCAGCAGCGGAATGGTGCGATCGACGCCTTGCTGTTTGGCTGTTCATAGAGTTAGGATTAAGAGATGCAACAAAGTTTTACACTTCGTATTTGATACTCACGGACAACACCCTTCGAAATGAGTATTAGAGGAGCTGAAAATCCCAACTGTGTAGATTCGGCTGCCAACTTGAACCAAACGGCGCGAATAAATTTCGGAGTAAAGGCCAATGTATACAACAGTCTACAAAAGAAGTTTAAATGTAATTAGAATCTACATAATATTCATTGAAAAATTAATAAATTGATGTATCAGCTTTAGATATCGCAGACGGATTACATTTTTTATAAACCCTGAACATAAAAGGTAAAGGCATATAAGGAATTATTGTGTAAACAGCAAAAACGGGCGTCGCAGACCCCACACTTTGTGGATCAGCAAAAGAAGACGAGTCGTGTTAGACATGTCCGTCGCCTTCGCAATGTTTACGACATATTGTGTATAGTCATAGATTCTATGTTGATCCTCATAATATTAAATCTTCCTCCACAAAGCAATATACGTTTTCAGCTGTTCACATTATGCACATACTGGAAACTAATGACCGAATATTTCATAAAGCAAAAAACGTTGGCCAATTGCGAACATAGGGCATAACATTGCGCAGGCAAATAACAGAAACAGAAAAGACGAACAGTTCACCATTCGATGATTTGCATTAGAAGCATATTTCTTCTACTTACTTGTATTCGTAAACCGCATGCTTGTTGTAGATCATTAGATTGTGACAAATCTCACAGAGCGCATAGATCAGCTGACTATGCTCTATGTGTGGCTCTAGCTGTTGGACAATCAAATCTACGCGCTGTGTTTCGTTTAGTATGGCTATTGATTCCAGCAGACAATCGCGTTCCTTGCTGTCCAGTTCGCTCACTCGAAACTGCTGCTCCATATCGTAGTCCAGGGCACACGACGGCCCCTCTAACTCATCATCAGACTCATCGGAGTCATCTGAGTCATGCTGCCTGTGTGTGGTCGTGTACGAACGGAGTGTGGATTTTGGCAGCTGTAAAATGTTGGGCATCATTTCGGCAATGATGCGCACATAAGCGATGAGCAAGGAACTTTGCTGAAGCGTAGCTGCATTTTGATGCGTAACAAATATTAGCAGTCATTATATGCTTAGCAGCGCTTCTTTTCTTAATACTCACCCAATTGCCTGCGATCAAGCACCAAAAGCGAGCTCAAAAGAAACGAGCTAAACACCTCCTTCCGCGTTGGGAATGCGAGCTGTTGTTTTTGCTTTGCCCTACCCACCACGTCGGCGCCATAAAACAAGTTATTACGTCCGCCTGCTTTGTTATCCGAACTTGGCATAGTGGAGGCGCCAGCGTCCGGCGAGCAATGCTCTAGTAAGCCATTCAATACATGCATCAACAAGTCGAATGGAAACTCGGCACACTCGGCCAAGCAAGGTAGCACAAAATAGCGCACCGGCTCCGTATGCTGCGAGGCCAATATATGGACAATGAATCTTCGGCAGAAGTTTGAAGACTGATCGCCATTGCCACGTCGGGAGATAACAAGCGGGCGCAGCAATAACTGAAGCAGTGCTTCAGCCAAAGGACTGGGTGCATGCAAGGACTCGCCGTCCAGCGGTGGGCACTTTTCGTCAAGAAGCTGACGCAGGCGCAGAAAATAATTGCGTGCAATGAGAAAGCCAAAAACACGATCCAAATACTTGTACAGCATTGTCTCATCCTCCACATAGCGCTCTACAGCGGAGACGGTGGTAAAAGTCTCCAGCATTCGCAGAGGGATGGCCTGAGCGCTGTGCGAGAGCGTTAACTGTAGCAGACAAGCATCCAGGAGCTTACAGACGCGCAGCAGCCAAATGGGATCCAGCGCCGCGTGTTGCAAAAGACGTGCAGGACTACGCAAAATCTGTTGGCAGATATCGATCTGAAAATATAGTGCGAATTTATAAACAATGCAAACACATATAAAAAAGCATGTATGTGCTACCAGTCGTTCGCTGTCCTTGGCCACACGGCAACTGTAGAAAAAATTCAGACGCCGCATTAGAAACGACAAACTATCATCTTCAATCATTCGGTCCCGATGTGCATGCAAATATGCATCAAAGGCTTCACGTTCAGCACGTTTTCGACGCTGACGATATATGAAGGACCGCGCGTACGACTGCAGTACCACAGCTCCATTGGCCTTCTGACGTAGCTCGTTCCGCTTCTGACGCTCCTGGGCCGCCTTGCGAATCACAGTGTCACGGTCGCATGTGTGGGAGGCGCCTCCAAGACTTTGAACCGGTCGACGGCGATACTCTCCATCGAAGCCAAACATGACGTTGCACTTGTGTTGCTTTTTACTGTGCAGTTCCAATTTCCTACTGGCTGGCACAGCTGATTTTACTTACTACCAGCAATTTTATGGCGAGCACATAATTCCTTGTCCAAGAGAGTTCATTCAATACCAGAGCGTACGCAATATATCTGGATTGTTGGAACTGTAATAGATAACTTTATTTTTTTTTTTAAGCAAAAAAAAACGAAATTTTGTTGTAATGTAAATGAAACAACGATGACAAGCCACAAGCACTTATTGCGCATGGCAGCACTGCTCGCGACAAAGTGCTGCCTTGAACCACTGCCAGGGGTGGTGCCTTCTCAAAATCAACTGAACAAAAAATACCAAACCAAAATATACTCAGTGACAATTATCAACACTAATATTGTTCCAGTGTTGTACGTTACATTTTTGTTTTTTTTTTTTTAAATGGATTTCAGTAAGATTCAATACAAAAAATTGTACATTGTACTGTTCCATATTCTTCCTGGGGGGAGCGGCTTTTTCGTGGGAAATAAATTTAAGCAAACTAATGTGGCTCTAAGTACTACCACGAACCATATAACATACGTCATGTATGAATTAACGAAAACGTTCCAGCAAAAGTGCACACTGATTGATTTTTAAACAAAATCTTTCGTGTCTTGGGAAATCGCTCCACCTAAATACAAAGACCGCTCATTAAAATACATCAAATATATATTGTTTTCTTCCATAAACTACTAATTATGAACAAAACCTAAAATGATTATAATTTATGATTAAATGAATGTATAGAGTGATTTATAAAGATGTTTATTTAAAACCTACCTTTCGATCGCACCCTATTCCCATAAAACTATGTACGTTATACCATATCTACATCATATTTTTTTATTCTACTATGCTTTTATTCTCAAATGCTTTGAGAATTAAATTGATTAAAAGTCATAAATTCAATTGAAACCCTAGGGTACAAATGATATTCATGAAGGTGTTTATACTTGTATAGCTTCCCTATTCTAGAGTGAACAATTTTGTTAAAACCAACTCTCTTTATTTTAATCAGTTTATTCTATCAAATGTGTGTATATTTACACAAGATATACATTTGCAAACATACATATGTTGTTATTATTATCAACAAAAAAGTAATTTAAAATAATGTTATACACTGAGTCACTTTAACTGTACCCCATCGTCATTATAAAACTAGTAGCTTCTCTGCTTTATAGCATTTTACTGCTAATAAGTATTAGCCCGTAGTATGCATGTTTGTACATATTTATGTATGCAGAAGTGTTGCTGAAGCTACACCATTGCCTGCCAAGCGTAATTTGTGCTGCCGTTCGATAAGTGCAAGAAGCGCCCTGGGTACATCCATAGTCTGATCATCGACCAGCACGATGTCAAATGTGTTCATATATTTCTCCATGTTCGCCTCCACATGATCAAATAGAAAGCCAATTTTCATAATGTGCGATGAAGCCGGAACACCAGCAGCCATATCGGCATCACCTATGGAGTCGCCCATCACGATTATGTGATCCCGGTTGTGCACAAGGTCATAGTATTCACTGCCATCTAATACAGCTTCATTCTTGTTGAATGTGTGTATCATGGGCTGCTGAAATCCATCCAGCAAGCCGTCGCGGTACTGCAAAAAGTTGGATACAACCTTTACATTTGGGTACATGAGGTTTGCTTGCCCTAGTAAAGAAATCACTGAATTGCCTAGGCCAGCCGAGAGCACAAGCACTGGTATTTGCAATCGATTCAAATCATCGAACAGTTCGTGTGTACGGTCACGTAGCGCATTTTTGTATTTGCCAGCGATCTGATCAATCTCTGCCTGGTCGAAGGGAAATCCACTGGTCAGTTTGCCACTTTTTGTCCACCACTCAATCATGTACTGCACCTTTTCCTCGGGTGGCATATGCGGGTCGATCTCGATGGGCCGATATTTGTGATATAGTTTGTTCGATTCCTCCTTAAAGCTCACTGGCAGGGATTTGCATGCATTGAAGATGCCAAAGCTTGAGGGCACTGGGCCGCCGTCCTCCGTTCGTTGTTTAGTTATGGTGTAATCAAAATCCGAAACAAGCTGCATGCGCTCTGGTCCGCCTTGTACAAATTCATTAATGATGCGCTCCACTCTTGACGGATCACGCATCTTACAATGACTTTGCGTCAGTGCAACTATATCCTGCCAGTTAACAAAGCCGTCCGTGCTTTCGACCTTTGAGTCGCAACCCATCTTGCAAAATTTTTCCCAAAACAGACGGCGCAGCAATTGGCGATGTATTCGAAGCGCGTGGCCAAGCAACAGTGTGGTGGAATTTTAGTTCTTACTGCTGGGAGCTTTTGAGCAATATCTGCAAATTATTCGAGCAAACATATTAACGGCAAAATCAACTGCATATATGTACATACATATATAAATATATGTATATGTGAATACTAAAGATACATACATACGTATGTGCATATATATTTAATTTTGCTATCGGACTGACCTTGGCAACGATTTGTTTTGCCAATTTTCACTGCCCACCTTAATTCTTCACTTTTATTCCTGTGTGACGATGTCTATAACTATCAGTTATCAGTAGATGTCAATGCGCTAAGCTACCAGCTTTTTGTTTATATTGAATAATAGCAATTACGATAACACAATCGCCGACTCCAAGCGTCCACACAATTGAGCTGTGCAACAAACACCGCTTCTACTTCGGCCTCCCTTTTGACCAATCAACCAAACAGCTGTTGAAACGAATGGCAAGGCGCGCGCTAAATGGAACGCCTGAAAATGAAACACTTGATAGTTTTTGAATCTGCCAGGCGCTGATTGGTTGGTCATTGGTTTGAATCGATAGCGTAATCGCCTTTTGAATTACAAGTCAAATGGTGATATAAACATTTAAATTTATTTAGTTTTGGGAACAATTATATATACACTTACCCTTACTATATGTAAAATCAAGTTTATTACAGGAAAATTCGTGTTTGGCCATGCTCCGCGTGTTGACATTTGGAGCAGCAACAAAGGCCTAGAACTCGCAAATAAATACATATGTATATACATACATACATATGTACATAGTTCAACGAAAAGAACTTGAGTTAAAAGCCTTTGTTAAATATATGTATGTATAAACAAGTGTAAAAGTTTTAATTACTCTGTAACCTATGTACATACACAGCGCGTCAGGCTAGGCCGCCCCTGATTTTAATAGTTTTCGCCAAGGGCGTAGACAGCTTTTACCAAAGGGGGGCCAAAAAATTAATATTTTGATTAAATAATGCACGATACATTTAAAAAATAACTTATGCATATGATCAATGAAAAACTTCAACAAATCCAACTCAGATCCATTTAAAGGCGAAATAGTGCGTCAAAATAATGAGCCGGTGGTCGGCTTTACTTGTATATGGCAACATTTTTTGTAGGAGGGGAACTTTCTTTCATATTGACCTATCATGATGGCACGGCATACGGACACATAATCACTAACAGGGGATATTTGGCAAATTTGATTGAAAAATTCCAAGAATAACGGAAAATAAGAAAATTCTGAAATGTGTATGGCTTCTTAAATTAAAATGTTATGTTTCTAGCTCTTTAGGTCTAGAGTTATACATACATAGGTGATTATACGAACGGCCTTACGGGAAATCCTTTATAGGGAGGAGTTGGTGTACATTAAAGAAATACAGACAGACAGACGGATATTTTCAAATCGACTCTTCTTGTCATACTGATCAAGAATATATATACTACATAGGGTCTGCCACGCCTCCTTCTTTGTGTGTTATATAACTAATATACCCTTTTACTCTTTGGGTACAGGGTATAAAAAAACACAAACGTCCGTCGTCATCTCTCGGACATAGAAGAATGTGCGTACCAAGCTTGGATGCTCAGGTCCCATACTTCCTGAGATCCTTGGGTTCATATAGAGAGACATGGTGATCAGGAATATATATACTTTCTAGGGTCTACCACAAACCTAATACACTCTTGCACTTTTCGGGTACAGAGTATAAAAACCATAGTGCGTCGATGGTTTTTGTTGTAGACGTGCGAAGAACCGTAAGCTATCTGCAAGAGCTTGTAGACCAGCACAGTCATTGATTAAGGATTAAATTATATACATATATACTCTAGTATTTGGTGTGTGTTTTTATGTTTTATTTTTGCCTACAGTACAGTAAGAGATTGCGAAGAATAAAAGAAATGTTGAAATTTGAGATTCGTTAACAATTATTAAACAATTTAATTGACAATAAATATGTGGTGCATTTTAAAGCTTGTTACATACATACACACGAATATAGCAATTCTAAGTTATCAGCGCGTGCACCATCAGACATCAATGATGTGCACCCATGTTACGGTACTAGTCTTATGTATGTATATGTAAGTGTGTGATCCATTGGTTGCACAGGCGAACTACTAAATACAATTCGAGGGGAAAGCTTCAACTGCTGCACTGTGTACGATAACGCAACTGAAGCGGGCGGTACGTGATTTCATCTCTGCCTAGTTCGAAACGTAGATCTCGAACTCCTTGTAGGATAGTTCCTCACCGCCGTACGGTATGTAGCAGACACCATGCGATGGCTGGACCTTTCCCACCGTGATGGTGCCGTCGTGGGTTGCGCGTCCAATGAACAATGGCTCCCCACTGGCAGTCTCACCCGCGGGCAGTGCGTTGGGTGGAATGTTGCCTGCCTCCACGGGCACCCACTGTCCGCCGCCGGCACAGAGCACCTCGTACTCGCTGTGGCCGTGCTCACCACCTCCCCAAGCTACATAGCAGACACCGTGTGTGGGATGCAGTTTTCCGGGAATAAGGTCACCTTCGTGGCGAGCACGAGCAATGTACAACTGCTCATTGCTGTCGAAGCCTCCCTGCAAGGCATTGGGCGGAACCTCTCCATTGGCCGCGGGAACCCAGCATCCTGGACCACTGCACGTCGGCGGGGCAAAGCCCATGGCTGGTGGCGCTGAGGGTGCGGAGTCTGTAAAAGGGCACGATGTTTAAAAAAACATTCTACGAGTAGCTCTGGCCGATACACTTACCATCCAGCAACCAAGTGCCAGCGGCTCCCCAGCCAGTGCAGATTCCCACGAAATTAACCGGGAACAGTTGACCAGCGTCGTAGGACAAAAAGGCAGCAGCCTCGCCCTCGCGACCAACGGTTATGACGTTGTCGTACCAACGAACCCAGAAACCACGGAACTCACCGGCATTCAAAATGCCAGGTGTTGGCAACTCCACAACATCAGGCTTCTGCCGATCCTTGCGAATTACCGACTTGCTGTTATCCCAACCGCCAAGGAAGATCTCATACATGGGATTACTCTCCTGGGGGCCCGTGGTCAGGGCGATATGGGCATCTTTTGCCGAACGCACCTGGAAGACGAATACTCCCCCACTCGCTGGGAAAAATTGGTATTCCAATTTATCGGGTGTGTTGATTTCTGCAAGAAACAAGGAGATTTTCACGTTAAAAATTGACAATTTTTTTCTAAAATGTATTTTAAACATAACTTCAAAGAACACCTGCTGGTCTTCAATCGACTGTATTTATCAGCACTTCTCACAACATTGGTATTTTTATAAAAAGTTATATTCTACTTAAATAATTCAAGTCAAACTTTATATAAAATATAAAATCATAATTTAAAAATTTTAATATATATTTGAAACGAAAAAAAGGGTGGACAAGTTCAGCTCCCTGTGCAGAAAGAGGTTTGCTTACCCGTAATACAAAATGTTAAGCTTTAGGAAATATACATATTTATTGTTGACGTACTATTCCATTCTAAGACAAGTTACTTAATTTAATAAAAGCTGATTATGATATATATGTATCACATAATATAGATATAAGAATCGTATCTATCTAAACTATTTGAATATAAACAATAAACTAACTATTTTGAAGTGAGAATTTGTTGAAGACCCGCTATGTTCACAAAATATATGCAAATATTAGTTTCTGGAGAAGTCTGGAAGATCTTATTACAACTGTTTGATAAGAGCCGTACTTTTTTATATTCCCCATGTGATGTCGGCAATATTTGTTGACCATTTCTCTATGAATTTGTCGGACTGTACGCAAACATTCCACGTACAGCTGTCACTTGTATCCAACAGATACGCAGAAACACTTTTTATTATTGTGTATTCAGATTGTTTGGCTTATTCTTATTTCGCTCTTTCCGCGGGAAACGGCTCGCCACCGAGCTGCGCATTAAATTCGCATGACATCATTGGTTGCCGCTCATTTCGAAAATGTTCTAGGCACAACCGGCTAGTCCCCTCCTATCTCCCTGACGCGACGCGAGATCACCAGCAACCAAAATACTGAGTTCGCATTTACTGTGAGCTTAGCTTACACAGATGTGGAATACATATATGTACATAGATGCTTTTTAGCAGGCCTCTTTTGAATCAACACTCTAATTACCTATATCCAGAAGTCGTCACATAAATCACACGGATCCCACAAATATTTATACTACATACAGACTCGTAACTGTCTGAACACGCAAATAAAATTGTTTGTTGAAACAATGGAAAACTCGTTAGAGTGGCCTCCATAGACAAACTGGCAGACTTTGAGCAAAAGTGACATCATTAAGCTGCGGAGGAGGTCAACCCTCAGTTGAGTTCACCTCCTTATCGCTTATTGATTGGCTACATAGTTCAAGGTTGTGATGTTTACTTCAATTGTGTGACTCAGTGTTCATCTGCCCCTGCATTGCAAATGACACAAACATTTCGCAGATACAAATGCACTACATTTATGTATGTACCAGAATGTTTAACTATGTAGTGCCATTTAAACATATTCAATAATACTTATAATAATAAACTTTATCGCCAGGCTTTTATTTGTCTGGCAATTAGACGCGATTTTAAAGAAGAGCGCATTAAGTTTTATAAGATTATTTATTCTGTCTGTCAATTCTTAAAAACGTTGATATCAACTGTAACTGTACAGTAAACTAAATCAACAACAACAAAAATGATTAGCGATCGTCATCAATATGTACATATACATATCTATACATATGAGTACACCCACGAATTGGCAAAAACAGATGAACATGAAAACTACGTGAATAATATTCATTTCGGCCATAGATGTACGTTCATGTATTGGTTAGCATAAGGAAAACTAAAAAACATCATAATTAATGTTTGAAAAAAGGAATACAATGGCGCCACGCCCGGCAACAACAATATAGAAATCGAAATAAATAAATAAATTCATGTCAACGTTGACACAATTTACTCTCCGTTTTCCATTTTGGCAAGCAGCCAAAAGTTTTGCTCAAGCCATGTGCCTAATAGTGCCTTTGGTGGAGCGCTGTTCACTTCTTTAGTCGATTTTATATCGTTATTCTACTATCCATTTAACAACCTAGTTAGATGCACACATATGTACATATAGACACAAACACATGCCCACAGTTGAAAACTCACCAATTGTCATTGTTGCTTATTTACTTGCTTCCCACAAGAGACGTGCGAGAATCTAAAAATATCGTTGTTCACTGACTGAGATTCGGATTAGAACTGCGCCATCGAAAACAGCGGCCATCAACCAAAATGTGTAATGAAGTTTGTGCGCTCTCCCCATTCTGCCATAAAGAAGACAAAAAGCTCTGAGAGTCGCGAGTGTGCTTTCAATTAGCGGGACCGCCACCTTATGTTGCTCATGTTGATATGCAATTGGAAAACAAGACTTGTTGTGGCCGTACACCGGGTGATCGCTTTATTCTGTCTAGAGTGGGCTTTATTCAAATGGTATGTATATATATGCATGCATATTCTTGAATAGGTGACTCAGATTTTAAATCATTGTTTATTTTTAGCTATGTTGCACAGCTGGAATTGATTAATGTATTTAACAAATGTTTCAAATCATAACGCAGCACCTTTGTTGTAAATAAGTACTTCTAACCATAATAAGCTTTTAATTAGAAACTAAAATAAATTTTGAATAACTTCAAAACCACTTATTTTCATCATTTTTTTATTGGGTGCAAACAATTGATTTAAAAAATTACTGACGATAGAAATGTTAACGCGATCTGGTGCTGTAGCGCTGTTTTGATCAAGCTACAATTTTTCATTTAAGCCAGTAAGGTTTTAGTATAGTATAGTGTACTAACTTCTACTGTTCTACTTCTATATACTTGTATATAGTACATATATAGAGAAGATTTTAAAAAGTGCAGTTATGCGTAATTTTCTACATACAAAACACAAACTATACATGTGTATGTACACACTAGCATCAAAGTAGATATGTAAACGTATTAGTATGCATAGCAATGATTTTTTGAAACACTCTAACTAGCTGGTAGTAGCAAGCCAATGAGTAAGGTTTTAAAGCTGTCGCTGATGTCACGAATCAGGTCGAAAGCTTTGTGGCTAGGTTGCTTATATCGATACTGCCATTGCGTCACTGTTTTATTCAATGCCGTCATATTATAGTTTTAGCCATTTATTCTATCAGACGTTAACCACGATGCTAAATTCGGTGGAAACATGGTGAATGTTTATTGCAAGCTTTTGTCGTACACTAAATAACTAAACTGGGATAGCGTTTTTAAATCTGGTACCACTAGAATGTACAAATGCACTGTTATTGGGATACTCTCTCTCCTACAACAACTTTGTATAAAAGCATGTACATATAAATTATTAATTTGTTTTGCTGTGAGTTCAAGTTATATTGGAAGCAAACAGTTTCAGAAACACTTCATTGTATCACATAGCTGTCAGATAATTTGATTATTCCCGAGCAAATTTTAAACATACACATATTTTAAACATAAATAGCGGAAGTAATAGAAATACAGTAATCGTAAATAAACTTCTGGATACCAAGTGGGGTTATTATATATGTATTTATATTTTCTGCGATCCTTGCGTTCATACGAACATTTCTATATCGACTCGTATTGTCATGCTGATCAAGAATACATAATACTAGCGTATACGGCTTGCGTTGCTGCGCCACTGAATCGTAGTGCTTTTTAAGCTTTCGGACACCTTCCTCGCTTTTTATGGCTTCGATTAGGTCCTTTACATAAATATTGAATATGCCTTTGGTGATTTGCATGAAAAGCGCAAAAAGACTACTGTTAAACGTTTCTATGGCTCTATATGTGGATACTCTTTCCCACATTTGCCAAAACCGCGACTTCTTTAATAGCACTACTTGTATATGCAGTAAACGACGTGACGTGACAACAAACGGAAGTGAGTTTTGACTTGGAATACAAATTGGAAACCTCTGCCAATTGGAAAGGACTTTTTTTTTGAATTTTTTTTCAGTTCAGTAGGCTTTAAAAAAATATAAGTGTATTATTCAAGTTATATAATTAGAAAATCTGTACTCGTTGTTTTTTTTACCCTGACCCAAGTGTGAAAGAGTATGCTAGTTTTGTGCGAATGTATGTAACACATAGAAGGATGAGAGGACGAGTAGATACAGCCTTGCCCGTCTGTCTGTACGAACGCAAGGATTTCAGAAAGTATAAGAGCTAGATTCTCCTAAGTGCGAGAAAGTACGAGTTTGAGTTTTTTTTTTCGATGCACCCCCACTCCCCCGCTATTCGTGTTTTTCCCATTACTCCCATAACTCTTGGAATTTAGAATAATAAGTATTAGGTAATTACATCCAGTTAGTGCTTATGTGTCCGTATGCCAAGTTCCATGATAGGTTAATTCTGAAGAAAGTTATAGCCATAAGTAAAATCGCTGCTCATGCGCTGCCTGCAGCTCTGTCGGCAGCGCTGCCCGCAGCTGTTGTTGTTGTTGCTGCTTGGGTTCAACTTTGTGGTGCATACATACACGCATATAAACACGCATAGACACGATGATGTAAATGTATGCTGTTGAAACTGTACATGAACATGTCTCCACTTTTGTATATATGTATTGAATAAATTGTATTTAATTTAATTAAATAATTTAATTAATATCATTTTTTTATTGTCTGACGTGACGTGACAAAAATGTCCTTTGGTAAATTTCTAGGTAGAATTGTTTTTAAAACATTATTTAATGCAAATTTAATTGTAAGATAAAGAGTTTTACCCATTTGTCCGCACCTTTGCCGTGAAAGTTTGCAAAATAATTCCAGTCAAAAACTTTGTAAAAACAAGAGAGAACGCTACAGTCGAGCAAGCCCGACAGTGTAATACCCTGTACCCAGGTAAACTTCCGTCGCTGAGTTATATGCGCCCATAGCAGAAGCAGTTTGGGGGAGGGTTGTACTGGCGAGAATTTGTTTCGCTAATCACTTTTCTTAGAATTAACAGAATTGAATAAAATTTTGATAAACAACAGTAGATAATTATATAAAAATGATGTGTGCAAAGTTTGGTTTAGGTAGCATTTGAAATGTGGACGCTATTGACAAAATTCTGTAGCGGGGGAAGGGGGGGAAAATTAAAAAAAGATCGATTTCTCTCGTCACGCTGATTCAGAATATATATACTTTATGGGGTCGGAGATGCTTCCTTCTGCATGTTACATACTTCACACAAATCTCATATATACCCTGTACCCGTAGGGTATAAAAAAAAATCAGAAGTAAAATCATTTGCGGTGCATCGGAAAAAATGAACAAACTCGTCCTTTCTCGGGCTCAGGAGAATCTGTATACCAAGTTTGGTTATTCTAGAATATATATACTTTGTGGGGTCTACCACGCCTCCTTCTGTGTGTTCTATATACAATCGCACAAAAGTAATATACCCTTATACCCTTTGGGTACAGGGTATAAAAAGATAGGGATGTTTACAAAAACGCCCAAGGTATAAATTAATTCCTGAACAGGATCCTGTTAGTTCAGAATCATCCTCGAAACATTATGTGACTTTAAATATTAACGGAATATTATTCAAAAGTTCCTAGCCAAATAAAAAAAATGACAAATCGGGCGACACCGTGAATAATATCGAAGACACAGTCCATTACCCACAATAATTTTTAAACTCACTACCTTCTGGACAGTCGCCACATGGATTGAACCTACAATTCGGAATTCCAATCATGCTTTTGAAAAATTTAGGCCCTCCGAGCATGCAAAATAAACGATGATGCTGCTTATTAAGGAATTGCATTTAATTGCAGTTAATTAGGTTAACTAGCTCATACACAGAGAATACCGATGAGCCCATTTGATCATTGATTAATTTGGTCATCCCATTTAATTATAATTAAAAAAAAATAAATTATTAAAAAAAATGAATGAATTAATTAATTTAATTAAATTAGAATACATGTTTATGTTCAGTTTTAACAGCATACATTTACATCACGTACCTATGCGTGTACCTATGCAGCACAAAGTTGAACCAAAGCAGCAACAACAACAACAGCTGCGGGCAGCGCTGCCGACAGAGCTGCAGGCAGCGCATTGGCAGCGATTTTACTTATGGCTATAACTTTCTTCACAATTGACCTATCATGATGAAATTTGGCACACGGACACATTAGTACTAACTGAATGTACCTACCAAAATTGATTTCAAAATTCCGAGAATTACGGAAGTTATAAGAAAAAACACGAATTGCGGGGGAGTGGAGGGGTGCATCAGAAAAAAAAACACAAACTCGTCCTTTCTCGGACTTAGGAGAACCTGGATACCAAGTTTGGTTATTCTAGCTCTTATACTTTCCGAGATCCTTGCGTTCCTACAGACGGACGGACGGACATGGCTATATCGACTCGTCTTCTCATCTTGATCAAGAATATATATACTTTGTGGGGTCTGCCACGCCTCCTTCTGTGTGTTACATACATGCGCACAAAACTAGTATAGCCTTTCACCCTTTGGGTACAGGCTATAATAAAAAGAACTAAAATAAAAATAAATACCCGTGCGAAGCATGGACGCTAGTATTTAAATAATTTTACTAATTAATTAATAATTTTACTGGGTACAAGGTATAAATATAAACCACGTAAGTATATGGAGTCGTTCAGTTTCAATAGAATACTTTTACACATGGTGTCTATGTGTTGAGCCAAGTAGCAACAACAACAACGAGCTGCCGGCTTCTTTAAAATGGGCGTTTTATTTAAGAGATAATTTCACTTCTTCCACTGATTTGTATAATGTACGAGTACAGATCTTAAAGAATTGATTGATATTGGCGGTCGAAACCATCAAAACGTCTTTTGTCTTGCAAATTTTTTTTTTTTAATTGATACAATCAGAAACAATTTAGCCCTGTATCTCACGAAACATTTATTAAATTATACAAGGAATGAATATTTTACAGTTAAAGATCTATTAAACATTGTATGGAGTGTTATTAGAATACTTAGAACTTACATTTTTAACATATTTAATATGCATAGATTTTTTCCTTGTGCTTAACTTTTTAAATAAACCAAAAAAAAAACCTGTCTTATAAAAAGGAAAGCTTATGATTGTGTTGTGTGTTCAAATTTAATCCTCGATTAATATGGCAGTCTCAGCGCAAGATTTATTTGGCTCACTGACTGAGCTCAACTTTATGGATCCGACGCTGCTATTTCCTGGCATGGCAGGTTTTGGCTTTTGTGTGGCTGAACTTAATTCGAATTTCCATTTAGCGGGTAAATGGGATTTGTATTTTTCCTCTTTAACTAGTCGACTGAAAAATAAAAAATTATAAAAGGTATAAGAAAAACTACAATTGAGAGGAATAATAGGATATCTTACCTATTGAGAAAATTACTAGCCGCCCCGATGTCTTTCAGAGTTAACACGCCCATATTGGGCAATTTCAACATAAGCTCCGTGCCGGCCAGCTTAACACGAAAGCGTGGTAGTCCCTCAGCCACCAGAAACCCATAGGTAGGCCTTTCTGGCTTAGATAGGGCAGGTGTATAACGTGGTGGCAAGGGTTGGTCGGAGTTTGCTCCACTCTTAGAAGAAATTTTTGGCAAAATTTTTCTAGCCGGTGCCGATCTTCGAGGGGCTGGTGACGATTTAATGGTATTTCCACTGACAGTACTGCTGACGGCAGCAGAATTGTTTTCAGTTTGCGACTTTTTTGGCTCACTGCGTCGCGGCTGCTCATTCGGCGTGGTATTTAAAGCTCGCAGATTGGCTGGTAATGATTTACGGTCCACCTTAGGTGCAGCCACAGTGCTTCTGTTAATAGTGGTTGATACTTCCTTAGCGATTGTGGGTCCACTTAAGATCGTCGCTTTTGTTAAAGGATTTGATAGTTTTGAAACGGCGCTGGCGCTTCGGTTGGGAGCCGCGGTAATGGCAATTGTCTTTATTGTGAGTGGTTCGCTAGTACTGGAATTCATGACTGGTGATGATGAAGGCTTGGGAATACCGGTAGCAGTTCGCTTAGTTGCAGTTGCGGCGGGTCCAATAACAGCTCCAGCTTGACCTACTGAGTTTAAAGAGCTCTCTGTGGCTAAGTTAGCTAATCCTTCCTTGGGGTTAGTATTGCGATGGGAAATCTTAGTAATGGTAATACCGGTATTAGCACCACCTAATTTTACAGAGGGTGTAATGTTTTTTGGTCCGAGCAATTGCTGCAACGATGTATTAATTTTATGTGCGGTATGCACAGAAATACGACTTATTTTAGGTGGTGGCGGTTGAGCGGTTCCCAAGGGTAATGCTCCTATTGTCGTCGTTGCCGGCGGTGATGCCGTTTGTGTAAGTTGCACGTGCGGCGTTATAAATTGTGGCACAGACGTCTGAGCGATAGGAGCCACAGGGTTTGTTGTTATCTTAGCAGGAACAGACGAAATAAAGGGCATAAAACCGCCAGATAAATCCTTGGATTGTAACGCCATAGTTCCAGCAGCTGTTATGCTTTGCGCGTTGCTATCTAATGCCTGGGGCGTAATCTGTAGGTTTCCATTGCTATTATTGGTTTGTATAGTGAAGCTGATGCGTTGCGGCCTAAGGACTGTCGGGTCTACAATTTGTTGGACAAGTTGTTCTGTTGGCTTTGCAGCAGCATTGGGATGCCCCTCATTTTTATCTGTCAGCTCCTCTTTCGTCTCCTCTTTCTCATCATCATCGTCATCAATAATCACACAATCATCGTCATCTTCAGTGTCATCACAATGCGAAACTTGCTTATTTGCAAAATTATCTGCTTCAGGCTGCGTCTGTTTCTGATACTCCCATTGTGGCGCACTCTCCATGTCAATTTCAAAGTGCACCTGTCCTTTGATGTACAGAACCCAAAAGGCCATGGTCCGTCGGTTTGGCTGTACCGGAATGCCGTGCAGTCTCTGATAAACCTCTCTTAGCATCATCTTGCCATCGACACTCTGGAGCAGTACCAACACTGGTGGCGGCATGTCTGTCCGCAGAGGTCCGAAGTAGATCTTGCGTTGCGACGTGGGCGTCACAAAAGCATCGTATGGGGCACTTTGGAAGAACTGCAACTTGACCACCTTGACCTTCTCTGCTGCCACTCGTATCACGTTGTGTATGCGATCCAGAGATATCATGTCCTTAAAGGCGGGCACGAAAATGTGCGAGAAATCATCGAAAAGATCAAGCACTACCCAGCGATGATCCCTAGAAAGCAATTCGGGTAGTTGCAATTCATCCACATCTGCAGGCAAAACTTTGCGAAACTCGATGTTAGTCCTTATATTGGAGGCAACATCCTTATCCTTTGAAATACCAGAGACGGACGTGGGGGCGGATGTCGAAAGAGTTGCGGTAGTAGATGAGGCCGAAGTTGATGGCAACTGGCTGGGCAGAACGACGGTTGGGCGAGCTGTGGGTGATGGACTTGTTTGTGGAACTTGCTGACTGGCAGCTGATTGGGATGGCAGTGGAACTGAAGGCACTGCTGTCGCAGGAGCAGGTGGTGGACTGAGTATACTGGTAGGAGCCTCCGAAGGCATATCATGACTCTCGCTTCCACTAGTCGCCAGCTGCTTGCGCTGATGCTCTCGCATGCGCTGTTTCACCATCAATGTGCACAAAACATTAATTTTTTTTGTTAGCAATGGATGTGTTTGTGGTGTAGGTTTGGTGCATGCATTTCCGGCCATGTGCCGCAAGAAGCCTTTGACCAACCAGTATTGCTGCCTACCCTGCATCACAACCGCCAAACGGCGTGTGTTCTCATTGCGCTTGCGCTGTATTAGCATGCGTGCCATCAGTGGCAGTTGGCGCTGTTCCAGCGCGAATATATTGACCACTCCCAGTGCTCCACACACCGAGGGCATCATGTTGGTAGTGGTTGCAGCCAAAAAGTTATAGTTCTTCATTTTCACATCCCAAATGAATACCAAGTCAGATTCAAAGGCAGCCAGGAAATTTGTCCACTTAATAATGCATAATATCTCCTCATTGGGTGTCGGTATAATTTTGGACTCACGTTGCAGGGCCATATCAATGTCCTGCATTTTTTTACTGACCAACGCATTCATGTTTTTAACTACCTCGTAGAAAGAACGGAAGTTTGAGTCCTGCCCCATAATTGAACTGCCAGAGGCGCTGCCATCATTGCTGACCATATCCACCGGTAACTGCATGTCCGAGCCTATCAGTTCAATGTTACTGCTGTTACTTGAGGCGGCGGCGGAGGAGGCACTGTTGAGTGAGTAGCAGGCTGAGATGCGTGGCACCTGTATGTCAACCAATTCAGAGGCGGCTGAAGCAGAATTTTGTGATGACATCTCCGGCAATGCATCAAAATCTGCATCATCCTTTGACAACGGCTCATTTATCAATTTAATGCGCTTGGCATTTCCAACTTCATGACTACGGCGTCGAACTTTTTCCTTGCTGCTACCGGTAGAGCTGCGCTTTCTGCTACTACTACTGCTGCTTGCGGTGTTCGGTTGCTTTTGTTCTCGTCCGTCATCGGAGTCATCGCGCACCTCAATGATAGGAGAAGGCAGCTCCAACTCGCGTTGTTTGTGTACCTCATACTGCATCTCCAATCGTCGCTGCTGGTCCAGCTCAGCGCGGTAAAAGCGTACTGCACCATTAACGCGCTGATTGAGCAGATGCTCCGTGTTGGCATTTTCCTGGCGTGCAATCTGCTGAAGCACTATTGGGGCCGCCTCGCGATTAAGGCGCATATAGCAATTGCGAGGTACCACCACGGTGCGACGAGAAAGATCCGGCCGCGCCTTGAAGTAATTACTGAGTATTTCCAGCTCTGGTTGACGTCTGGTTGGCATTCTGTTGACATCGGGCTGAGGCCAGAGTTGCACCTTGGCCGCCTCCTTTGCTGGAGCGGCAGCCGGTGCAGCTGTAGTTTGTCTGCCTTCCTTGTGCTCCTTGCGCGATTTTGTTTTAGATGATGTGGAAGGCTGCTCCTCTGCCATACGCTCAAATGAATAATGGGCGCGCGTAGCTATTTCTGGAGCAAAGTGCGCAATGGTTGTGTTTTCCGGCTCCTTTTCAATCACCATGGGCTTGCCTTCCACAGATTCGGCGCCACAAAAGCATTTATACAGCTCATGCGTCATGCAGAACGTGGCTAAATTGGAGACATCCGAAAGTCGACGCAATGACACAAAGCAATGCTTCATATTTTCCATGTCCGTATCCTTTACCTTGCAGGGCTCAGTCAACGCGGATACGTGCGCATACGATGTAGATTGCGAATGTGGTTGGGAGGCGCTGGTTGACTCTATGTTGACCACACTACGTTTCACGGTCTCGCTCTTATTATCACGTTTCGGTGGTGTGATACGTACGTGCGAATCATCTTCCGTTTCAGCAAAGTCCTCGTAGCGTTTGGGAGCTTTTGTGCATCGTCGTTTTTTATCGCATTGTGATTCGTTTATTAGCAGCGTTTCGTTCTCGGTCAGTACCAGAGTTGACGTAAATTCCTTCTCCATTTTAGCGAGCCGCGCTGTTGCTTTCCGACGCAAATTAAAGGCGTCTTCATTGGAGATGCCACGGCCCTGAGGAATGATAAAACATTAATAATACGACATGTTAAACAGAACTAGACACGACTGATAAATCAAGTAATGCAATTGTAAAGCAAGAAAGAAATTTTTGAGTCGACGAGCATTTGTGTGTTCGGGCAAGAGTCTTTCAGTATGTTATAAGCATTCGTACAAAACTAGTATACCCTTTCTGTACAGGTTATAAAAATACTCGCTTTTGAATCAATTTCTTTTTATCTCCCAGTCACCATCAACAACCCAGGTTTCCTTTATTTGTGACTACCGATTTCGTACTGTACATCAATATTGTGCCTGTGTGTCTATGCGTGACTATGTGTTCAAAAATCACTAATAGCAGGTCTCCCCTGGGGCTGCATCAGAATGCCATGTTTGTTTCGTACGGACAGGCAGACTTGGCAATATTGCTTCATCTTGTCATCCTGATCAAGAATAGAAGTATATATACTTTGTGGGCCTGCCGTGCCTCCTTCTGTGTTACATACAAAACTAGTATACCCTTTTACACTTTGGCTACAGGGTATAAGAAAATTCTTCTAAGAAAACTTAGAGTCATGCCCATAAATTGTTATTTATATAGCATTCGAGTATTTCTTACATCAGTTTCCACACGCATGACCCGCGTCAGCTCGGCCCCTTTGCAGCTGCACTCCAAGACACAGTCAGCTCTCCCGCAATGCTCACGCAATGGCAGCTCCCCAACCAGACTCTCGCACACGCAGCCGAGCTGGCAGTAATCCTTGCAGCAGGGCTTTTTTGCTGTTCATCAAGTGAAATATAATTAAAAATCATAAAGAGGTAAGAGAATGTATTACATACTGCTGTTAGATTTGGAAGCTGTATCAATGATGGTTGCATTAAGGCGCCTAAGCTCCAGACGCAAACGGTGTTGCTTACTATATGGCGGACGGCCAGTCGTCTTGCACATCTTGGGCTTAGCAAAGGTCTTGGCGTCATCTTCATCCTTCAAAGATGTTTCCATACCGGCAGGCAGCACGTCCAGACCGTCTGGATCTTCTGTGATAAACGAATTCTCACTACAGCTTATGGCAACTGTGTTGATCATGTCGCTGATCATTTCTGCACAGGCCAACTCATCCGATGTTGGTTCTGAAGACATTGCTCGTCTAAAATCAAACTGCAGCAATTTTTCCTCTGACTCGGTAAAGGATGCATCCAGCTGCTCGGAACGATCGACAACGCGCCGTACCAGAATGTGATTGCGATCGTTCAGGTACGGTATGACAAACGTAAAACTCTTGCGGCGACCATCCGGTGTCTTGGCTGCGTGCGCCTCTGCGTCCCGCACGGTTGAGGACTGCTGCAGTGTAGATACGCTGAACTCGGCCCACTCACGCGTGATGTCATGGTGTGGCAAAATGTACTGCAAATACCGTTTCGCAATCTCGTCTAGTTGCCGACCCAGCTGTGGCTTCACCTCCAGCTCCACCGTGGGCATGCTAACAACAGCCATGCTGCCGCCGGCGAGCAGTAATGCGGCCGTATCGTCATCTAGCGGTTTTTGAAAAGGCTTCTGTGAGAGCGGACAGGGGCGGAAGATAGCCGGTAATGGATACTGATTGAGTTTAGCTTTACGCTCTTTGGTTTTGATTATTTTAAGATCGCGCCATATGGCCGCATCCAAGCATAGTGATCCACAGCGTAGCGTAGATGCCTCCTCATTCGTCAGTTTGCTGCGATATGGACGTTTTTCCCGCCTGGCATTGTTGCCCAGCGCACCGGGTAGCTTGATATCCTCGCCGTCCACGTTAATAACTTGATAGTAATATCTATTGTGTTCAGTGCCCACATAACTGGCAGCTTGCCAACCTGCTCTTGTGAAGGGCATCTGTGTGTGAGGCCCCTGCAACATGAGCATCGAAGCGGATTTGACCTTCAGATTGCGTTGCTTGCGCTGTAGCTCGCGATAGATGTTAGCTTCATTATTGATGATCGCCATCTTGTGGTTTTTGGAGAAGCGCTGCAAATACTGACGACGCTCAGCGACTGTGCGCAATTTTTGTAAGCTCTCCGGCACCGCAGGCATATCCATGTGGGGTGGTGTGCTGCCCTGTGTTACAAGGCCATCACGCGCCTTTGGCTCCAGTAGCCAGTCTTTGTCAGCCTTAAACCTAAGGGGCGTTGCGGGAGTTTTACTGATGTTGTTCTTGCGCATGTATTCCTCCAGCGAGTCGCTGACGAAAGCCGCGTTGCCAGCACGGGTTTTGCAGTTTTGTGGTACCAGTGGCGTCAGCAGCATTCCCGGTTGATGACTGCTTTCGTCGAAGCCAAGGAAATCATCGCCAGAGTCTTCGGTGGTAATCGGCACAGGTGATTCCAACGCTGATGGTGTTTCAATGTTGGGCACGGACAAAAAATTTGATTCTTTCGCAAAGTTCTTAACACGCACTTTACTAATGAGCATGTCAAGAAACTTGCTGCCGCCGGCTCCTTTATCAGGTGTGGACGTATTGGTTTGATTAGAGTCCTTGCTTGGACTTGGCTCAAAAGGACAGTCGTTAGCAATTTCCATGGCAGCGTCCGTGCAGGCGACGGCTAATTCGGACTCGGTTTCCATTGGTTCAATTGCTTCATCCTCAAGCTGCTGGACTTCCACTTCTGGAATTACAATCTTCGGTCCAGCTTCTTCCTTTTTTGGTTCCTCCTCAGCCGAATCCTCTTTAAGTTGCACATTTTTATTGGCATCTTCAATCAACAACAGTCCACGTTTGCTGCTCTTGAGCAACTCCAGCTGCTCTTTCATTTGCTTTGAAAGATCCCCCGTGCCCAACGGACAATATTCTGGTTGTACAACATCATAAATCTCCGTTTCTTCATACTCTTTTATTTGCCCCATGGCTTTATAGTATTTTACAACCCGCTGAGACCAACACTTAACGTTCTGTTTTCGCTTTTTAATCATGCGCTTTAAACGCGGATCAAAAAGCAAAAGGCGGACGCGCTGTATGATCACAACACGATTGTTGCGTTTCCGCCATGCATAACGACGGATTACGCAATGCGGATTTAGAGCGTAAATCAGAAATCGCTTAATATTCCAGAAATTGCGATTTAGGAAATAGTTGGAGACAGGATATGTTCGCTTAATGTGACGAAATTTACATTTATCTTTTCCCTTCAATATGATGGTCAGTTCCTGTGACATGCTGCAATAGAGTTGAATACAAGATTATAAGTTGTTACTACATACATACATACACACACATATATACCATACATATCTATAGAAGAGCAAAAACCACTTCATTTTTCAAAATTTTTCCGCCCAAACCAATCGAAAGTAGGAAAAATAGCAATTATGGCACGCAACTCTATTTAAGGTATTACAATGATGATGTTACTCCAAAAAATTATAATCTTTCTATTATTTTGAAGCTATTTAGTTTACCAACATAAAGTACACTCTTCATATTTTTTATTATTATTCAAACCAAGTGGAAAAGTCAAAATCGGTTGCCCCTACTTTGAAATACTCTGTACCTATGCGCAGAAAATTGTAATAAAAACACAAAAAAATTTTTTTCTCTCCTTCGGGATTTGAACTCACTGCACATTTAAATTGGGATTGCGACTTTTCGGGCTTATTGCTATAACTTTCTTTACAGTAAGCCTATCACAATCAAACTTGACATACGGGCACATAAACACTAACCAGAAGTAATTTTATTAAACAATTTTCAGAATTAAAGGAGTGGGGGGAATGGGGAAACTTTCGAGACACGTTTGTACTGCGTGCAAAGGAATAAAAGGTGTCTCTAGCTCTTATAGTCTCTGAGATCGACATAGGTGTTTATACGAACAAATTTATGGAAAATCACCAATAACGGAGGAAAGGGGCGTACATCAGAAAAAACGAGTAGAAAAGCTAAAGTGGGTGGTCTCGACTTTTAAATACTCTGTTCATACAAATGTGTAGAACAATTATAGAAATTTAAGAAATTAAAAAAATATTTACCACCCTTGGTATTCGAACTCATGTAAAGGGTGTATAATTAGACATTAACATAGGAATTGTGTTTATGTGAGTGTACGCATGCCTATGCGTGTCTATTCGTGTCTGTGTCAGCATGCATGCAAGAATATACAATATACTTTCTGGGGTCTACCACGCCTCCTTTTAATGTGTAACATATATTTACACGAAACTAGTATACTCTTTATAAAAAAAAAAGCATACTGCGTACTCGTATAAGGCTCCTATGTACAGAATTTGGTCTCTCTAGCGCTAAAACACTCTGACATCTAGGTTTTTATACGGACAGCAAGATAGGGTTTTATCGACTCGCCTTGTCATGTTGATAAAGAATATACATACATATATACTTTGTGAGTTCTACCACATCTTCTAGGGCCTCTTTTCCACTTTGCATAAACCTATTATACTACAAAAGAGACCACGTGATCTACGCGCAGTGCGGCCAAGCAACCATTATTTCCGCTAAATGGGTAGTACTGGCACATTGATAGATACATACACAAATCACCGTTTTACGAAATCTCTCGGGTAAACTTCACGCAAGGCAAAGTTTTGTAACACGTCCACATACGACTACCACTATACAAGAACCCCACATTCAACGGTAGTACTTATAAATACATACATATGCACATACATAGACACAAACCATCTGCACGTAATTAAAAAAAAAATGCATTAAATGATAGCAATACGCTAGTTTTATACAACTACGTACGGCAAATGGGCAAACATTTCAGACCTACATACATAGTAGCTGTCGAGTTTTCAGCAGTTTTTGTAAATGTTACCTGGATTCTGCACGAATAACAAATAGCCAAAGACAACACACACAGGCACTAAACAAGGCGGCCGCGGCAAAGTAACAACAACGACGTCAAAACGACGACCTGCATGCACCCATTAAAACATTTTGCACAAGGTTTTCCTTCGTGTTTTCACCACTTAAAAATATCATATAGATACAAATAAGTATAGGAATTGCGCATGTGCTCCTTAAATATTTTAACAAAAACAATTATTTAAAGCTGATCAAAACAAAACGCGTGCAGTTTATTTACGATCACAAACACCGCTCTGCTTTGCCTGCGACCTATGGGCACTTTGCTTGTGTATTGATTCCCATTCCCAACATTCCCATTCTATGAAATGCATGAAAAATGAAACGTGCCGATGACGATGCGTGTGTGTATAAGCTCGTTCATGTGCCCGATACATTTTTCACATACCATTACCGTGAGCGAGATAGAAAATGGACTAGCTGCAGCAGGTACTATTTATTGCCTATGGTTTATCAATATGATAACATTTTAGTATACATTACGGTCACATATCCATGTATGTATGCAAATATGTATGATTATTTCTAAATGAGCTTTCCTTTTTCATTTTACATCTTTGATGCATGAATGGGCGTGCTTCGATCTGCGAAACTAACCTAACTGTTTATTAAGTAAATTTATAAATATATGTATGTATGTATGCATTAATAAAGCGAAAACAAACATACAAAATACTTAATATGCTTCGCTGAAGACTTTAACATATTTAGATCGTTTTTAAATGCAATTTGTCTTTTGGATTTCGTAATAAATCAATAACCTCAAAAATTAAAATGGCGTCAACGGATACATACAGAAACATACGAAAGCCCGATCACGCGCGTCACTCAAAGAACCCTCTGCTGTCAACCCCTTTCACACAAAAGTACCATTAGAGACGAACAGTTTTTAGTTTGAAGCTAAAAATATCCTGCCCTTAAATATTTATCATTAGAATTCTTACCTGCACGCAATTTGGCGAATGAATACTTTACAGCTATGTATATAAAGCTTCAAACTTAAACAAATTTAACACTTTTACAAATTATCTTAGCTAAAGTGACGCAGTTGCTGCCGACGTCTTAAAAGCGCAGTGCATACACACAAGCGTTGACAGTTCACTTATACACATAAATAGATTTTGATAAATTTCAATATGGAGTCGATAACACTGCGCACTACTGAGCGGGACGGTAAACGGTAAGGAATGAAACACAGGGCTGCTTTATTCTAGAAACGTCATGATAATACCACATGTCATGTCCCCAAGAAAAGGATTAGCAAAAACGTGCATTTTTAGCAAATTCTTCTCATAAGTTAAGATAAATATTAAAAATGTTTAACGAAAACAGATTCTTTTAGTTTTAATGTGCGTCATACATATGAATATGACGCGCATGTGCAATTTAAGGAATGTCTAATTTTCGCAATTGTAATTATAATTCACAAACCAAAGGGGATATACTTAAACTTTTAAAACTAATGCATTATTCTTTTTTTCTGCATGGAAGACAAGAAATTTACAAAGGCCATCCATAAACTTTTAATGCGTTTTATTGAATTTAACGCTTAGTGTTAGATTTCTAACCGCCTTCTTTAAAATACTCTGACTGGCAACCCTAATACTTTTTCGCGCCAAATCTACCTTCCCGCGTGATCTAATTTTAGGGTTATGAGCTACTCAGTATACAAAAACTAAACAAAAAATAGATATATAATTATTTACAAAGTTGTCTTTATTTAATGTCTTTTTATGTATATACATAGAATGTCTATAATACAAAAATTGGCGCATATTTAATAGCGGCATTTCACCCATTGACCGTGCGCCTTGCTGTACCTGTAATTGAAGATAAAGTAAATCGATGTTAAAATATGTTTACAGAAAACAATGAAAGTTTTTGTATTTTTGTTTGTCAGTAGGACCTATTGGATTGATATATTGCGGTTAATGTGAATCATGCCACATAGTTCAGCTATCCATGCTCATCATTTTACAATTAAAAAAGCAATGCTTAAAAATACTACCACCTACCTTTGAAGACCGCTCAAAATGCTTCCAAGTGCCTGTAAAATAGAAATATATTTGATTAATACCGTATTGCATTGTTTCACACGTATTGTCTCTGAATCAATCAGAAGGACCTATTGGATAGATTTGTTGCGGTAAATGTGAATCATACCACATACATCAGTTATTACATTTTATCATCATGCATTTCTTTTGGAATTATTTATGACAACCTTTTTGGAATTACTTACTTATGGATATAAAATAAGCCATGCCCAGTCGGTAAACTGAAGAAAAATGAAGAAGGTAAATAACAAATCGGTCAATAACAAAATTACTTATTTGGTTAATCCTCCTAAGAATTAAAGTATTATCAGTAAGACCAATCACGCAATCAACATGAGAAGTTTCAATTGCTTTCAGCTAGGGGCGAAAGTTTTCGATCATCATGTTAATATTTGTAAAGTCATATTAATACTTTTCTTATAAGTTCTCACCTAAAATGGGATGAAGTGTTGACATCAAAACTTCAGTCTCAGAGCTACTCCTGACCTGCAAAATGAGGATAATTTTAGAAAATTTTATATAAAAAAACTACGGTGCAGTCTAGAATACAGTCAAATATCAGTAAGACCAATCACGCAATCAACATGAGAAGTTTCAATGTTTCAGCTAGGGGCGAAAGTTTTTACTCATCATATAGTTTGATGCAAGTGACTTAAATACATACGTATGATATACACACCTGAACTCGGAACGAAACTTTTCTGATCGGTTCTGCCTATTTGCCGTTTGGTATCAAGGAAATAAACGAAACTGAAAATAATAAATATATATTTCTATTAGCTAACACACAAATTTATTAGCTTAGTTAGGAAGAAAGTTGAATATCAGTAAGACCAATCACGCAATCAACATGAGAAGTTTCGATTTTTTCAGCTAGGGGCGAAAGTTTGAGATCATCATATATAAAAAAAAGGTATATATATTTAGGTATAAAAACATAACACACCTTGAAGGGGTACATAATGTGTCTTCCTTCATCTTTCGTTATAGTGGAACTGCAAAAAACAAAAACATAATATATTAGTCAACTTGTATATTTGGTCTAGCATGAGAAAAACCAATCACACAAAAAACATTGGAAATTTTGAAAAAGTCGAAATTACAATGTTGACTCACCATCTTTCGGTGCCTTGTAGCATGTGTATTTTTTGTGGCAAGCTAAAATATAAAGATTTCAATTAGTAATCGCATTGCTTAAATAACAAAAACATTTGAAATGTTAGCTGCAATATCAGTGAGACCAATCATGGCATTCAACATGGGAAGTTTCCAATTATGGTTCTGCTAGGGGCGAAAGTTATTGATCATCATTTTGCAGCGCAACAAATTCAAATCATTTTTATAAACAATAATTTTACTCACCTTCCGGGTAAATTGATGAGAGGACCTAATGTTAGCTAAACCTAATCATAATAAAATCAGTACGCTGAAACAAGCATTTCTTCCCAATACATATTATAGTACAATAAAAAATACAATTTATTGCATTGCGAATGTCACTTAAATGCGTAGAAAATTTGTTATTTCTACAATAGAAACTTTTCTTAACTTAGGAACTAAAAGATGATCAAATAATGATTCATTCTACACTCTCACAACAAGAGTTTCTAAAGCCGTGGGTATATGTAAAATTATTCCTGAGGTTCCTCTCTGTCCCTATCTTTGTCCTTCTTCTTCTTCTTTTTCTTATCTTTTTTCTCGTCTGAAGTGGTTTCTTTCACCTCTGCCTCTTCGGCTGGCCCCTCCTCACCACCCTTGTGTTTCTTTTTTTTATCTTTCTTTGATGGTGCGGCCTCAGTGGCAGATTCTTCGGCACTAGAGATGCTATGCTTGCGCTGTAGATAAATATTTTGAGCTTGTGTTTAGTTTGGGACTCCTCGTGCTCCTGCAACATTACGTACCTTGCTAGCCTCATTTGATCCATTGCTTGGCTGTGACTGTGGCGCCACTGCTGCTGCCGGTTTCTTAGCATTATAATCGACAAAGCCCGTTAACCATTCCTTTGGTGTGTTCTCATTGGGCCGACCGTATTTGTCGAGCTTACCACTCGCAATGAGCGCCTTTTTCGCCGATGCCTTAGGACCGAGACCCCATTTCCGTGGATAGGTGTCGCGTTCCATTATTACACGTTTGATTTTAGCTACGACACCGTGATCGCAGGAAGACATGGTCGCTGTGGTCATCAGTGCTATTGCCAGACATATGGCCTCTCCCTTTGTTGTGCATATGACAATCTCCTGATCAATTTCAATTCCATCCTCGTAGCGCAACACACCTGGCAGCATAATTTTGGCACCATAACAAACAGCATTGACCTGTGAAAGATCGAAAGTAATAACCAATTTCAGTACAAAATATTTATCAAGAATGGAGGAAAATAAAGAATATGTGGTGATCAATAAGTCAGATACAAAATAAATTACTCAAAATGAAAATATTTAATTATTAATCGTGAATTTTATGTTATTTAATTGGATTGTGGTCTGATAAATTCCTTTGTCAGGCACGCTGAATTCGTGAAGCCCAACACACACAGTTCAGTAGCTTTACTGTTCCCAATCATAGTCACAGATGCTGTTGGGATATACATGCAACTGCCGGCTTATATCATGGGGTCAAGTATCCATAAAAACTATTAACTCTTGAAAGTCTAAGATATAACTCCAGCACGTACAGCAGTTACATAATACATGTAAGACAAGATTTCACTACACTTACCGAGCTGTCCTTCATGATAATGCGCTTGTGGTTGACCAGCAATCCCTCCAACGGCTTTATAACACGCCGTAGCATGGACTCGTCCTTGTGGTTCTCGTACAGCCACATCGCATCGAGAACGTCGTGCATTGTGACCATTTCATCGCGCTCAGTCTGAATGCCCGATCGTACGCGTCTTAACTCCAACATTTGGCCGCCAACGCCAAGTACTAGGCCTAAGTGCACGCACATGGTACGTATGTACGAACCGGCTTCGCAACTAACCCAAAAAACACCTGGACGCGTAAGTATGACAAAGGAAGAATTTTTTTTACCAATAACTGTGCATTTGCAATGGCAAATACTATAATTTTTATGTTTGCTTTGTTTTGAATTGCATTTGGGAAGTGCACGCCCCTTGCCATAAGCCAGGCAGTGACGCACTCATCCAGTATTAGGTTCGAAGCTTACCCATATTACGGGCAGGATCATAGTCCAGTAGTTTGCTGTCGTAGACAGTGCGTACACGCAATTGACGCTTCACAGCCGAAATAAGAGGTGGTCGTTGGAAAAGCGCACCACGCAGTTTTTCCAAACCCTGACGCACTTTGGCCACAGACTCAACAGGGCCGTGCAACTTAAATATGGCTACATACTCTTTGCCGGCGCTTTGTTGTGACTTGACTAAGCGGGTGGCACGGTCAATGCAAACAATCAGACAACCTGTCGGAGACACGTGCGTGAGTATTTTGAGGTTATGTGTACAGTGCCATGCTTACCAGTGACTTTAGGATCTAATGTGCCCGAATGGCCGGTTTTCTCAACTTTCAATATGCGCTTTATCCAGGCGACAACTTCATGCGAGCTAGGATTCGAAGGCTTGTCGAGATTAATAAATCCAGATTTGATATATTCTTTGATTTCACGATTAAGTGGCGAGGAACCATGTGCCAAGGGAGTGTAGTGATTCGAGCGTATATTTAGTTTATCAAAGTTCTTCAATAACAACGGCCACTGGGATGTGTCTAGCTGTGCTATCTTTGACGAGGGTTTTATTTGAAATTCGCCCTGCTTCTGCAAAGTGCCAATGTCGTCGGCATCAACCGGCTCCTGCTTGATTTTTTTCTTTTTCTTTTCTTTCTTCAGCTCTGGGAATAATCCACATTGTAGATTGTGAAATGGGTCACTTTTAATTTGTTACTGTATTAGTTACTCACCAATATCTGCCATTATGGTTGTTTAATTTAACAAAACGTGCAGCAGCCGAAAAGACGTTTGCACGCGCTGTGAGGTAAAATAAAATGGCCGAGACAAACACGTGTTGCCACAAGTATCGAATACATGAGTGGTGGCATTTGCAGAAACGAGTACATGAGTACATACATACGATACAGCTGTTTTAAAATACATAGATTGGCAGTACTTAAGACATATACAATTAGTAAATAGCAACAAATGGAGCACGCGAAGCCCAGTTCTGGCCATGATGAAGCTACCAGGAAAAGTAGTGTCATCAAGCCCACACGTAATACCGCCATAAAGTGTTTAAAATGCGACAAAGTGTATATATTTCCTGCGGACAAAGATGACTGCTTAGCGCATTTGTATCTTGAACATCGGCTGGTTATTGCGGATGTAGATGAAGTTGCATTGCTTGAAGAATATCTACAGTACTGGGAGCAGGAGTTTCAAAGTAAGTTACCTATACATACAGCTTCGGTTTAAATAATGACTTAAACATCCGCGCGTCTAATTTAGCTCATGAGTTTGAACAGTATTGCACTACTTTGTTTTTGGATCAGCTTCCTGATGGCACCTACGCCAAGAACGAAAAGTACTACTTGTTGTGTGATATACTGCCTCAAGACTATGAACTTCGTCACCGGCTGCAGCAGCAGTGTTTAAGCGCGGCGCTGCAACGTCATCAGTTCGAGTTGACCGACCGGAGCTTCAGTAAGGAATGTCTCTTCTGCCGTACCGTTATTAATGGTTTGCGTTCCGAATACTTGGATCATTTGTTCGAAAAACACTTTCTGCTTGTGGGCAAGCCCGAGAAGCTGGTCTATGTTGATGAATTGCTCGAACGGTTGGAAACAAATCTGGAAAAATTAATATGCCTGTACTGTGAGAAGACGTTTAAAGATCGGCCCACGCTCAAGGAGCACATGCGCAAAAAAGGGCACAAGCGAATCAATCCGAATCGGCGCGAATACGATAAATACTTCCTAATCAACTACAATAGAACGTCGGCACCAACGAATCGAAAACAACAGCCGCAGAAGCAGCGACAAAAACGTCAGACGTCAGGAACAGAACAAGATGATGCCAGCGTAGATTTTGATAAGCATTTTGCTCGGCCGGATTCAGATTGTGAACACGATTCCGACTGGTCTGACTGGGCGGGTGATGGCGATTTCCCAACGCTTAAATGTCTGTACTGCTCTCAGGATGAAACTCAGTTCTCTACGCTAAAGGAGCATATGGTTCAGAGTCACCGCTTCGACTTCGATGCGGCCACCAGTGCTTTAAACTTCTATCAACGCGTCAAGGTGATAAATTATGTGCGTCGGCAAATATGCATGCTGCGTTGTGTAAGATGTGACCTACAATTTGATGATGAAGAACTGCTTAGCGAGCATATGGCTCAAGAGGCGCATTACAGCATTGCCGAAAGGTCGAGTTGGGACAAGCCCGAGTTTTTCTTTCCCTATTTAGAAAACGATGGATTGCTCTGTGTGTTGGACGACAGTACGGGAGATGATGTGAGTACAGATGTTGTGCGCATCATTTCGGAGGATAATTTAGCGAACATAAACAAAGATGCAGAACGTTTGTCGTTAGAGAACTTTAAGTTGTAATTTAATATAGAGGAAGAATATAAAACATTCTGTTGACTTCCTTGATACATACAAATTGTGTTTTACTAAATGGTCATATATGTATGTATATTGCAACATTTTACAGCTCAGTATGTTTGGGGCCGGAGTGTGTTATCATTTGGAATTCGGATGTTATAGTGAACGTCGACAACGCATCCCAACGGCTAGTGCTGAAAACTGTAACGGTAGAATTGCATTTGGCAATTTCGGTTTTTTGCGCTTTTTGCCAGTGTTTACACATTTTATTTTTAGTTGTAAAATGTAAACAATAGGTATTTCAAAGTACATACTTATACCGAAAATATTAAATTTTTGTGGTATGTTTTCTTGTATATTTAAAGCACTCCAGTCTCCTGCAATTATTTGAAATATAATTGCACTGGAATGTAGATTGGTTGTTTATGAAATGAAATTTATAAGGTGGCCGAAAACAGTAGAGAATACTGTGAACCGTGGCCTCTTTTTGCGGAACTTATTTCGGCGAAAAACATATGTGCATATGTATTTTGTTTGGAGCAACTGTATACAACTGTTAGACAAACCCTTTAACAACAAAATCAGCTTCAGGAGTTCAATTTTTTATACAATATAAACATTTTTTAATATGCAATGCATATTATGCATATGTATGTGTCCGAAACTGTTTGAGAACCAATTTTCTCACGAGTTGATCTATATACAGTTGATGTACATATGTATATACATATGTAAGTCCAAAAATGAAGCGGAGTTTTATATTAAACAGAGTAAATTTGGAGGTTTTTGCTAAATTCAAGCCATATATGTATGTATTTTATATTTTTAAATAACAAAAATAGTTCGTAAGCCCATCGATTTTAATAGTTTTAGTTAAAAATTGTGGTTGTGTTTATTAAATTAAAAGTCTGCTGTATTTAAAATTTAAACTATTAATTTAAGAGTATGGTATATTGAAAACGTTATTTTTTGTTTGCCAAACATGTACAAATATGTTCATTTAAATTGGAACAAAGGTATTTATAAGGTATTTTTTGAAATGGCAAGGGTATTTTTCATATTGCTTATAAGGTCATATGGTATATTTTTCCAACTTCAGCATGTGGTTACACTGCTTATTGCACTGACATCATTCCGTAGTGAAAAAGATTTTAAATATTCTCCTGCTCAATGGAGGCCCTTGATATACTCGAAAAGCGAATAGATGCGCTAACGCGGGTACTTGGCGGTGTTCCGGAAACAAATCCCCCCGGCAGTGAAGCTGGTGATGGCCACAAAACTGTTAACATTGTTGACTCTCTCTGCTCAGCTAACGCCTTGCTCACGGAAGCGACGACAGGACGCACACAGCTGCAGAAAATGGTGGGCAGGGCTGGAGAGCTCGAAAAATATCTGGATCCTAATTTCTTGGAGGAGCAGCAGCAGGTACGCTCTAAAGAGGTCTATCTTAATGCCGTTGCGCCCGAGTTGCACACACAAAGCGAACAGCTACAACACATCAAGAAACTGGAACCTGCTCTAGGTGCTGAATATTTCCGCAGCATACCTGGCGAGTGCTTAGATAAGCTCAAACAAATTACGCAGAACAACGGCGAGTATGCGCAGCAGAGCGAACTGATCGAGGAAAGCCTAATACTGGCTATGAAACGCTACGGCGAGATACAGGCGGATCTGCTGAGTTCCCTGGACGTTATGAGCGAGAGATTGGACCAGGTGGAGCAACGTGTAGAACAAAAAAAACGGGCGGACTTGGCAAAGGATGTTCCGGCGAAAGATTGAGCGTGAGAACAAAGAGACAAGAGATTGCTGAAAGTATTTTCTGTTAGACATTTTTAATTGGTATTGGGAAGAGCTGTCGTCTATCGCCTGTAAGTTTATTTTATTTTATACGTATGTACTAGCACAATAAATGAGACTCCAAAGTAATTTTAATACTAAGCTCAGCACTGCCATAAATGCCGTCGATACCTCATCCAAAATGTTCAAAAACGCAGCTCATTGCGCTGTATCCGTTCGTAAATCTCTTGTGTAAGCGGTGCATAGCTGCCATCTGGCTGCGCGTAGTAGAGCTCATCCTCTATGGTTGCCGGATCGTAACCATGCTGTTGCAACTCAACTTTGCGTAACTTAAAGGTGCCAGTCAGATCGATCTTACGAAGAAAGCGTAAAAACAGGGGACGTGCGTAGTTGGGCAGCGTCTGCTGCAATTGCTTGGCCAGTATCTGGACATCCACTTCACGCACTGGATCGTAGATCGCGGCCATGCCAGCACGACCCTCGGTCTGCGGTATGCAGACACCATACACAATCGTGTCCTTGTAACCTGCCAAGTTACTCAATTGTGCCTCCACCTCGCTAGTTGAAACATTTTCGCCTTTCCAACGGAACGTGTCACCAGTGCGATCTCTGAAGTACAGATATCCACGCTCATCGGAAACAAGCAAATCACCGGAGAGAAAAGCCATGTCGCCCTTTTCAAAAACATCATGTACAACCTTCTTAGAAGAAGCTTTTGTATCCACGTAGCCAAGGAATGCGCGACACGGATTGCCCTTTACAATTTTTCCAATGAAGACGCCTGTCTCATTTGGCTCGCACCGGTCGCACAAGCCCTTGGAATTGCGCAATGGTTCTCCAGTATGGGGATCGGCGCGTATAATGGAGATCGGATATATCTGTGGCAAAACACGAGATACAAAGCCAATGGCACCCACAGTACTGTCATTATTCATTATGTTTGCGTTTCCCTCCGTAGCGCCATAGAACTCTCCAACATGTTTAATACCGAAGCGCTCTACGAACTGTGGCCAAATCTGCGGACGCAAACCATTTCCAAATACCATGCGAACCTGGTGTTGGCGATCATGGGCGGCCGGTGGCGTGGCTAATATGTATCGTGCCATCTCTCCAATGTATTGACCAATCTAGTAATAAAAGAGCGAGGGTTAGTGGAGCGCATAAAGTAAAGATGCTTAATATTTGCAATTATGGATATATCCTTTAAATATCTTATGGTTAAGCAATACATGAACACAAAAACATTCTTTTACGAAACACGGATCTCAGGAAGTATTAAAGCTAAGATAACCAAACATTATATACGGGTTTCCCTATGCCCAAGGCAAATTTTTTGTTTTTTCTGACGAACCATCACTGATATTCCATTACTTCCGTAAATATTGGAATTTTTAACTCGAGCTTGACAATTACATCCAATTATGTCCTTTCCACCCTAATGGACTCAACTCCTAAATACTCTGTAATCACTACTATTTAATTAAATTAATTTTAATGAAATTTATTAATGCCTGTACCCAAATGGTGAATGGGTATACTAGTTTTGTGCGAATGCACGTAACAGGCAGAAGGAGGTGTGGCAGACCATACAAAATATTTTGGATCTGGGTGACAAGCCGAGTCGATATAGCCATGTCCGTCCGTCTGTATGAGCGCAAGGATCTCAGACGGTACAAGAGTTAGAATTACCAAACTTGGTATTCAGATTATCCTAAGACCGAGAATGTACGAGTTTAAGTTTTTTTTTCGATGCTATTGAAATTGTGCATAAACAGTTATGTACGTATGCAGGTGTTGAATATTTTATATTTAAATTCATTAATTAATTAATTTTTTTGTTGAGAGTACAGGGTATTTTACTGTCGGGCTTGCTCGACTGTAGAGTTCAATGGAATGTATTAAATAAAATTATTCAAATCAAAAATATGTAACAGGTTCATATAGTCGTACAGTTTAAAAAAAAAAATGTTTGGAAAGCTGTCGGCCTAGTGGTATTTCAGGAAATTTTAATGAATTTCTTCTTTTAATGAAACTTATTAAATAAAATTATAAAAATCAAAAATATATAACAGGTTCATATAGTCGTACAGTTTAAAAAATAAAACAATTTTGGAAACTTGTCGGCCTAGTGGTATTCCAGGAATGCTTATATACTAAAGGCTTAAAACCCAAATCTCTAAACTTTATCGTTGATTTGTTGCTTACCGTGGCCTTGAACTTGGCGCAGTCGGCAAAGTATCCGGAGGCGCTGAATTTCTTCCGTATGACTACCGTGGATCCAAAGAGTAATGCCTGACCCATGCTCATAACGCCGCCGGCCGTGTGGTAAAGCGGCAGTGGCGTATAAAAGATATCCTTGTCGCGGAAGCCTAAGGCGAAATGAATGCCTGCGGCAATGAAAAAGTATCTGAAAAAGGGGAAACAATTAAAAATTTGTTTTATTTTTGAATCTAAATTTCTAAGTAGATAAGATATTTGTTACTATAATTGTTGAGATTTAAATTGATTGTTCAATCAAATATATATAAAATTAAATAGTAGACGCCGTCTTCAAACATACCGCGAATGTGTGATAACAGCCGCCTTGGGCAGTCCCGTAGTGCCCGACGTGTAGATATAGACCAGTTTGTCGTGATGGTCGGCTCGACTGGCACCTGCGGCCACCTTATCCTTCGGCGCAGCTTCGAGCAATGCATTCAAGTGTTGAGCTAGACCCTGGGACAGGGGTTCAGAGGGCGTCGCAGGCTCATCGTTGAACTGATAAAGCGCCACATGCGCAGGCAAGTCCTTTGCTATGTCCATAACAGCCACTCTGTAGCCCACGCCGTAGATGAGAGCGGAGCACTCGCCCACTTGGATGCTGTGCAGCAGCGAAGCACCGCGCAGATTGGTGTTGATCAGGGGTGTGATAACGCCAATCTTGGCCAGACCCAGCCAGGTGGCGACGAATTCGGTACGGTTTTCTAGCAGTAACCCGACCACGTCACCCTTCTTGTACCCATGATTGTGGAAAACGTTGGCCACACGATTGGCGTGCTCGTTCAGCTGTCGAAATGTCCATTGCTGAGTCTCGCTCACGATGGCCAGCTTGTCCGCGTGACGGGCCACATTCGCCTCAAAGATATCGGCCACATTCAGATTCTTACGCTCTTGGCTCTTCACGAAGCTCAGCACTCGAATGTATGCAACAAGTGCACTGTAAAAATTCAAAAGATGACACAGTAAGAATGCAGTTTTTAGCCCTTCGTATGTCTGAGATGCATATCTGCAACGTACCGCTTAAACTCTATTATTTTACAACGTAAGCGCGAAATTTGCAAAGTTTATAATTGATGTAGTTCTACACATTGTATTTTAAGTGTATTTGATTTGGTTACACTGAAATAAACTAGTGAATTGAAATTATGATCGCTTTTGGCTCCAATTTTGTGATTCGTGGGATGCAAGCAAATTAGGGGATTTTTGTATTAAATTTGTTTAAATATATAAAGTACAACTAAATGTGGGGTCGCATTAAGCTTTAATAAAATTAATTACTTGTTTTTAAAATTTTCATTTACAGACATTTTTTGACCCCAGAAACAACAAACACATCGTTTTTTGTAAAAACAAGTGAATAAGCTAAAGTCGGGTGTCCCGACTTTGAAATACTCTGTACATATGTTTACAATAATTATAGAAAATAAAAGAATTAAGAAAATTAAAATAAAAACAAGAGAGAACGCTACAGTCGAGCAAGCCCGACAGTGTAATACCCTGTACCCAGGTAAACTTCCGTCACTGAGTTATATGCGCCCATAGCAGCAGCAAAAAGAGGAAGAAGAAGAGCGAACTTGTTGCTGCAGTTTGGGGGGGTTATACTGGCGAGAATTTGTTTCGCTAATAAATTTTCTTAGAATTGACAGAATTGAATCAAATTTTGAACAACAGTAGATAATTATTTAAATTATGTGTGCAAAGTTTGGTTTAGGTACCATTTGAAATGTGGACGCTATTGACGAAATTCTGCAGCGGGGGAAGGGGGGGAAAATTAAAAAAAAAAAATAAACTCGTCCTTACTCGGATCAAGGAGAATCTGGATGCCAACTTTGGTTATTCTAGCTTTTATAGTTTCTGAGATCCTCGCGTTAATCCAGACGGACAGACGGACGGACATGTCTAGATCGATTTCTCTCGTCATGCTGATCAAGAATATATATATTTTATGGGGTCGGAGATGCTTCCTTCTGTATGTTACATACTTTGCACAAACCTAATATACCCTTTTTACCCTACGGGTACAGGGTATAAAAATTTGATCGATTTTACCTTTCTCGGTATTCGAACTCACGTAAATGGTGTATTATTGCACATCTACATAGCAATTGCGTCTGTGTGAGTGTATGTATGCCTATGCGCATCTATTCGTGTCTGTGTAAACATGTGTGCAGTCAACCAAAGCACCAGCATCAACAGCCGCGGGCAGCGCTTGAGCAGCGCTGCAGCAGCAAATACATTTTTGGCTATAACTTCTTGTTAAATCGGTCTATCATAGTGAAACTTGGCACACGGACACATAATAACCAACTGGGGGTATTTCCAGAATTTTAGTTCGAAATTACGGGAAGTTAGAGAAAATCGTTAATAGGGGGGAGTTGGGAGGTGTATCAGAAAAAATAAACAAACTCGATCTGCCTAGGGCTTATAGGAACCTTGATACCAATTTTGGTTATCCTAGCTCTTGTACTTACTGAGATCCTTGCGCTCATACAGACAGACGGACAGACAGACAGACGGACATGGCTATATCGACTCGGCTTGTCACCCTGATCAAGAATATACATATATACTTTGTGGGGTCTGCCACGCCTCCTTCTGTGTGTTACATACATGCGCACAAAACTAGTATAGCCTTTCACCCTTTGCACATGGTTGCAGTCAACCAAAGCACCAGCATCAACAACAGCTGCGGGCAGCTCATGGGCAGAGCTTGGGCAGCAATTTTATTTATGGCTATAACTTCGTGTTAAATCCTTCTATCATAGTGAAACTTGGCATACGGACACATAAGAAGTAACTGGGGGTATTTGCAAAATTAGAGTTCGAAATTCCAAGAGTTACGATTTGCGGGGGAGAGGGGGAGGGAGGGAAGTTCCAAAATACACATTTTCTGCGTATTCACAAAAGGCATCTTGGACTAAAATTTGGTGTCCCTAGGTCTTATAGTCTCCGAGATGTACAGAGTATTTCAAAGTCGGGCCACCCGACTTTAGCTTCTTTACCTGATTTTTACTATAGTACATATTGTCAATTTCCAAAATATTGTTTTCTGAGTGCACTGGTCAGCAAGCTGACTCGCTAGCCACGTACGCGGCAGTGCATCGACCTGGAGGTACTTACGTGGTATCACGTCGCGACGTCACCGCTGCTATGTAGAACCAACGCCAGCCGGGTCGAACGAGTAGCAGAGCACTGAGACTCACGTAGAGAGCAGCAAGTCCGAACCAGATTCCATGATAGTACCAAAGCAGAGCAGTTCCCGCGCCCAGGATGGGTACGAGCAGCAACTGAAGGTATCGTCGCAAGTTGCTTTTACTTTTTTTGTTGGAAGGCGGGGAATCGACGGTGATCTGTACATTGTTCGCATCGGGCTATAAAATATTAAGGACGGGTTACAAAGTTACAAATCCTAATTAATATTATGATTTTGCATATGACACATTCGTCTCACAAGCCAAAAATGTTTTGTGTTTTGATTTCGTAAGACGAGAGTGGCAGCTAATAAAACACTCAATTTAAATTTGCTAAAAAAATATATACATATATATATATATATATATATATATATATATATATATATATATATATATATATATATATATATATATATATATATATATATACATACATATATATATATATATATATATATATATATATATATATATATATATATATATATATATATATAACCCATAGTAGAGCAAAAAGAAGAACTGGAGTTAAATTGCTTCGCTAATAACTTTTCTTAGAATCAATCGATTTTGATGAAATTTGAAACAAAAGAAGATAATTGTCTATTGATTATGTGTGCATGAATATTAGAATGGTCAGCATGCCAAGTTTGGTAAATGCGGGCTCAACCGTCTCCGAAATCTAGGCTTTCATCCCGACAGACGGACATAGTTCAATTCGTCTCGTCATGCTGACTAAGAATATAAGTATATGTATACTTTATGGGTTCGGAGATGCCTTGTTCTTACATACCTTACCTAATATACCCTTTTCAACCTTCGGGTACAGGGTGTAAAAATGCCCAATTAGTCGGAGTCATTATTGGATATGTTTTGGTGGTTAAAACGTTTGTTTTGCATTTTGCCTCTTAAGATTCTGATTCTTATATTTTTGTATACCATCCAGTGCAATGGAAAGGTATATGCAGTGTCGCAATAGAGATGGGTATGAGTCGGCTTTGATAGGTCCGAATGTCCAAATATTGTAAAAACTTGGGTTTTTCATTTAATATTGATTCACAACTATTTTCGATATTTTATAAATTTGTTGATTTAAAACATTACTTTTGTAACCGTACTTCGAAATTGAACAAGCAGTGCAGTGACAAAGATACTTAAAACAAGAAAGGAATGCTAAAGTCGAGCAGGCTCAACTCTCAAATACCCTGTACCACCCCACAAAAAATAAATTATATTATTTAAATTAATTAATGAATTTAATTTAATTAAATTAATTAACTAAATTAATTTAATTAATTAACTAAATTAAATATAAAATATTCCATGCATGTACACAACCTATCATATATATAGGTTGGATATATAATTACTAACTGGATGTGTCTACCAAATTTTAGTTTAAAATTCCAAGAATTACGGGAGTTATAGAAAATCGTTAATAGGGGGGGAGTGGGGGGGGGGGTGGATCAGAAAAAATGAACAAACTCGTCCTTTCTCGGTCTCAGGAGAATCTGTATACCAAGTTTGGTTTTTCTAGCTCTTATACTTTCGGAGATCCTTGCGTTCATACAGACAGACAGACGGACAGACAGACGGACAGACAGACAGACGGACAGACAGACAGACGTACAGACGGACATGGCTATATCGATTCGGCTTGTCATGCTGATCAAGAATATATATACTTTGTGGGGTCTACCAAGCCTCCTTCTGTGTGTTCCATGTGCACTCGCACAAAACTAATATACCCTTGTACCCTTTGGGTACAGGGTATAACAATTATATAACATTCTTTCTTAGGTTTACTACATGTTTGGTATTTTAGTACAAATACTTATAACAAGGAGGTACATACAAGTACATATGTAACTCTATTCCAGTACGTCAACTGTTTCAACAATCGATAACGTGTTGCAGAACTTGGATTGAAGCTAGGCGTTTCATTCCAACTTATAATAAAGCTATTATAAAGCTAACTTTGAAGCATATAAGTAATTAAATTATAAGGCTATCTACGCCAGCTTTGAGGTCAATATCTGCTTGTTAATTGCACCTTACTATTTCCGTATTGTTTGTCGGCATAAGCACTTAACACTTTATTTAAGCAAATTTTGCAAAAGGTATAACATCTGAAAACATACATATAACTAGGCAGGCCACCGATAACTGCAACACTTGCTAATTGCTAAACCTGCCACCATTGTGCCCAGAAATCTCTTTGAAGTGCATCAGCGCTCTGTGCTCCGCATCGGCTGCCAACTTGTTGGACAAGCGTATGAGCACGCAAATGGTGAGAGCCGAGATTAGGCCGAGCATAAAGAACAATACCTGTACGGTAAGATGAATGCTGGTTACCATTATTAGTCGTATAGGTTGTGTGATGGCCCATCTACCTTGTGCCATACTGTCAGCCGAAACTCACGACTAGACGCAATGCCCCCGTCTTCAAGCAGCGGCTCATTGTCGGTGCCTGTCATCATGGTAGGTCAATATTTGCTAGATTTTCTCTCTTTGATTTAATGGTTATTTGTATACGGAGTTTGATTAGTTGAATGTTTGCTGGTGGAATGGTTTTTTTGGGCCAAGAGTTATTTCTCTGCCCCCTTTTGACAATGAAACATAGAGCTCCTACTGCTTTGATTTACAAAATATTGAGCAAAACAGGTTCCCGGCAATGTGCAAAGGTTGAAGAGCAGTTTTAAGAGCTTCAAGATATAGGAGTACTCTATACACACACGGGTATTCCCCATTGCTGCTTAAGATTTTATTTTGCCGATCACCTCTTCCGTACGCAGCCCGCAATATGACCAACAAAATTGTGCAAAAAATATGACATACTTACTATAAAAATTGGGAAAACAAAATCAACTCCGCGAAAATTATTTCGGTATTATCGCACTTAACATGCACAATTCTATGTAGCTATTGCTATTGATTCCAAATTCATACTATGTATACTGTATATCTATACTAATATTATAAAGCGGAAAGATTTGATTGTTTGTTTGTTTGAATTGAAAAGGCTCCGAATCTACTGGACCGATTCAATGGATTCTTTCACTGTTGGAAAGCTACACTATCGACGGTGAATATGGGCTATATTATATTTACAAAAAAGAATGGAATCCTTACTAAAACGCCAATAATGTAACCAAAGGCGTAAAAAAATTACCTTCAAAAATTACCTTATAGCATGCTGTTAGTTCATAATCATCCTCGAAACATTGTCATTTTAAATATTAAGGCAATATTATTCAAAAGCCCCCAGCCAAATAAAAAATTACAAATCGATCGACACCGTGACTAATATTGAAGACATTTAAATTCACTAAGCCCTTCTGGACTGCTGCCACATGAATTGACGGTAAAATTCGGAATTGCAATCATGCTTTTGAGAATAAAGCCTTCCAAGCATGTGCAATGGGACGAGGTTGCTTATTAAGGAATTGCAGGACAATTTAAGTGTAGCAACTATTATCAACGGCCCAGCAACTGTTCAACTAGCTCATATAACGAGGATACCAAGGATACCGATGATCCCATTTGATCATTTATATGGCTTCAATTTCCGGTAGTTCCAAGGCCAAGCCTTCGAATTAGTAGGGATCGACATACCAAAGCAATGTTTTACGGTATGTTGACCTATCACGGGTCATAGCTCCTGAAAATCAATTTATTTTGCTACCACAAAATAAAACATCAAATATCTTTTACAGAGAACCTCTGACCTAATAAAGAATAACAAAAAAAATCTAAAAACGAACAAAAAATCATTAAAATAATAATATCCAAAATAAATTTCACTCCTTCTTAGTAACTCATAGCAAAAAGAAGGGTGTGTGTTAAGTGTGTGTGTGTGTTATAAAAGGTATAATTTGTAAAATTTTTGTAAAAATGCCCGTGCGAAGCAGAGGCAGACGTTAGTGGATAATATAATAACATACATAATAATATAATTGTCAATATGCAAGCCAGTCTGTGACAGAACTAAATTAAATCTTTAATTCTAATTCATAGAATGCATCCATTTCGTTTATTTTTAATTTTCTTTAGTTTGAATCAAAAATGGCAATTCGATATACTAAATGTTCTCGACGAACAGATAATAAATATCAATGTAGAAGAAATTATATTTTAGTATAGAATTCTTTTAAGATTTAATGAAATAATGTTTGTTTGCATCTTGTTTGTGAGTTTCGTCAGGTTTGTAAGCAAACTATTTGAGCATCTACTTTAGAGAAATACAATACTTATAAATACTATTCCTATCTTTTTTGAACTTTCAAAGCTTGATCTAAGGGTACCGGATCGAATATTTAGGTATATACCTACACTGATAAAAAAGTTGCATAGTACGGATGAATATTTTCATATTAAGTTTAATGTTCATCTATTTCATATTCAAATCAAATAAAAACATCGTAAATTTTACTAAAAACATATTCAATTAGTGATTTTAATACTATATGAATAAAATTCAAAACAAAGTGTAAAACTTCGTTAAATAAAGTGTGTTATATTCAATTTAATGTTGAACCATATTAAATATTAATATACACACGCTTCAAAAAGAAATAGTTAAATTTACTATATTCCATAGTAAATTATACTATTTTTCTGAACTTTAATTTGAAGTTTTTTGTAGTCGATTTAAATATACTAGAAATATATTAAATTTCTCAAGTCGGTTTTCAGCGGTTGTGTGGTATAAATAAAAAGTGTAACCGATTGGCATACAGATATGGTCATATGGTCGTTAGGTATGTGTTAAGTAAGTGTTAATCAATCAGCTGCTTCTCACTTTTAATATTAATATTTATCTAAACTATATCTGTACTAAAAGGCATAAAAAAAATTAATTCATAATAACAAAAGAACTTTAAAATTACTTTCTGCTAAAAATGGTGGTTCTATAGAAAACAAAATTTATATAGAAATAAAATATGCATCATGATAATGTCAATATTGAAAAGAGTTAAAACAAAAAACAGTAGCGTAACAAAAAAATAAAAAATATTTTATAATTATAAAAAATAAGCCACTGGCGTCTCCACATTGTGATTTAATATAGTCATACTTTAAATTTAATATTATACCCTGTACCCGTAGGGTAAAAAGGGTATATTAGGTTTGTGCAAAGTATGTAACATGCAGAAAGAAGCATCTATATATATTCTGAATCAGCATGACGAGAGAAATCGATCTAGACATGTCCGTCCGTCCGTCTGTCCGTCTGTCCGTCCGTCTGGATGAACGCAAGGATCTCAGAAACTATAAAAGCTAGAATAACCAAAGTTGGCATCCAGATTTTCCTAGCTCCGAGAGAGGACGAGTTTATTTCATTTTTTGAAATTTCCCCCCCTTCCCCCGCTACAGAATTTTGTCAATAGCGTCCACATTTCAAATGCTACCTAAACATAACTTTGCACACATAATTTATTTATAATTATCTACTGCTGTTTAAAATTTATTCAGTTTGGTCAATTCTAAGAAAAGTTATTAGCAAACAAATTTTCGCCAGTACAACCCCCACAAACTGCAACAAGTTCGCTCTTCTTCTTCCTCTTTTTGCTGCTGCTATGGGCGCATATAACTCAGTGACGGAAGTTTACCTGGGTACAGGGTATTACACTGTCGGGCTTGCTCAACTGTAGCGTTCTATCTTGTTTTTTATCAGTGTACCTATGCTCGGACAGCTTACGCACAAATTTTATAAATTTAGTGAAACTGCGTTCTTGACTGGAAATTGCTACCTAGGAGCAACTGTGTTGAATCATGCTAGAAAATTCTGTTTTTAAACTATCAAATAATCTTTCCAATAATAATAATTAAAATAATGAATTACAAGTAATTAAAATCCACATGTAAGTACTTGCAAAAATTCCTATAAATACAATTACCTGGTTATACAGACAATACAGGGCAACCTATAGTTCGTATTTACGTACATTACTTACATACATACATAAAGGCAACAATATCAGCTTGGTAATTATAACTTAGGTTAGCAATCATAAAATACTTTGTTGTGAATACGTTACTAAAAATAAAACAAGTAAAAAAGCTAAAGTCGGGTGTCCCGACTTTGAAATACTCTGTACATATGCTTACAATAATAATTATAGAAAAAAACAAGTAAAAAAGCTAAAGTCGGGTGTCCCGACTTTGAAATACTCTGTACATATGTTTACAATAATTGTAGAAAATAAAACAAATTAAGAAAATAAAAAAACAATTTGATCGATTTTACCTCTCTCGGTATTCGAACTCACGTAAAGGGTTTATAATTGCACATTTACATAGCAATTGCGTCTGTGTGAGTGTATGTATGCCTATGCGCATCTATTCGTGTCTGTGCAAGCATTTTCGCAGTCAACCAAACAGCAACATCAACAACAGCCGCGGGCAGCGCTTGAGCAGCGCTGCAGCAGCAAATATATTTATGGCTATAACTTCTTGTTAAATCGGTCTATCATAGTGAAACTTAGCATACGAACACATAATAACTAACTGGGTGTATTTCCAAAATTTTAGTTCGAAATTCCAAGAATTACGGGAGTTACGATTTGTGGGGTAGAGGGGGGAGGGAGGGAAATTCCAAAATATACATTTTCTGCGTATTCACACAAGGCACTAAAGGGACTAAAATTTGGTGTTCCTAGGTCTTATAGTCTCCGAGATATAGGCGATTATACGAATGGAAAATCGGGAAAACCCCCATAGGGGGGAAGTGGGGGGGAAAATCAAAAAAATAAAACAAACTCGTATAGCGTACACACATAAGGCATCTTTGGTGTCTCTATCTCTTATAGTCTCTGAGATCTAGGTGATCATACGGACGGACGGACGGACAGACGGACAGGCAGGGCTAAATCGACTCGTCTTGTCATGCTGATCAAGAATATATATACTTTGTGGGGTCTGCCACGCCTCCTTCTGCCTGTTACATTTTTCAGCTGGCGCAAACCTAATATACTCTTGTACATTTCATGTACAGAGTATAACAACATTTTAAAAAATCAACGAATATCAAACACAATAACAGTTATGCATTTGCATTCTCAATTCATGGCAATTTGTTAATCTAAGACATTTGTTGGTTATTTGTTCTAATGTCAAGTCTATCAAGGTTATTGTGCAGGCTCTGTTGCTTTTTTTCAAGTATTGGTACACAAAGCTATAGACACAAACTCGATGGAAATATGTATATATTTTTGTATTTTATCTTTTGTATTGATGTCTTATTTATTATATCTAATAAGTTGAGTACACGGTTTTTTAAAATCGGACCAGCAAATCGCCAAGATCATATTTGTTCTTCAGTATCCGCTTCTTATCACGTCAATAATTAAGAATTATCGAATGCCAGTACAACACCAGTTGGTAATATTTTTAAGCTAAATGATGACACATTCAAAACAAAATTATGGGATTCGAGTTTGGTCGAGTATGTATGTATCGTCGAGCATCCAAAAATTCTGTAGAGCTTTCGCCGAATTTTATATATAGTATATATGTACATAAATACATACATATGTATGCACCATATGTATTTGTATACAAACGAGCTCACGACCTTCGAGCGTTATAAATTACGTGCAAAAATAATTGGCCTGCGCCATGCGCTTGACTTTTGACACTGGCCTGTCGTAAAAACGCAATCAAGCAACGATGACAAAAAGATCCGATGCTAAAAAATGCACCTACTGGCTAACTAGCTGCATATTATATCCGCCCGATATGACTGGGCTAGTGTGTAAGTAAAAAAATCGTATAAATAAAAGATAAAAACACAAAAGGCTGAAATACTACGCACAACAGAAGCCCGCAGCTAGTCAGCCATCGAACATAAAAACCAAACTGGTTTCATGTTTTGGTTGTACAGGCAGCGACGATTTTGGTTTTTATTTTTATATAACGCTAAATTCGACTAAATCAAGCTTAACAAAAATGTTAAATATACTCGTATGTATTATATACAATACCTGTGCGGAGTTCAAGGCCGTAGAACCGCGGGTAGCGTCGCTGCCGCTCATTTTGTAGTGGCAAACTCCTCTGTTATTGGTGAACAATGCGCTTACAGCTTCTGCTATGTTAACATTAACAGTGCGCGTCGGCCGACTTAGACACTTGGAGGCTGTTGTTGTTACTTTCAAAACGAAATTAAAGATAATTAAGCGTGAGCGAGCAATTGTAATAAGGTGACAAAAAGAAAAATTGCTTTTGTGGCTGCTGCTTATTGGACGTTGGGCTATATGTTGATTGTTGCCTGGTGGTTGACGACTTTTAACTGATGTGGCGGCTTTTGTGTTTTTGGTGCTTTGAGCTCAAGGTGAGTTGGAAAGGGATTGTGGCTGTCATTATGTTTATGAACGCAACATAGCTGGGAATGTGCACTTGGTATTAAGGGTTTAACTGGCACACAGATGCACTTCAATTCGTTCACGTATTTATGAGTATAGCTTGGGTATTTCCTAATATTTTATAAATCTTCCACTATATTGCATTATTTTACTGTATTTGTATGAGATGACGCTGTTTTGAAACATTATGTACGCGAGGAGTTAGCAATGTTATACATATTAACTGAATCATTTACTTTGCCTGATTTTGAAATTTGTATACCCTGTACCTGTAGGGAAAAAGGGTATATTAGGTTTGTGCAAAGTATGTAACATGCAGAAGTAAGTTTGGTTGGGGACAGGCTCTCAATTTAATTCAATATTTACAAATATGCTAGAATCTATAAATTCCTGTTCTGTATTTAATATAGAATTGGAGTTATCATCCAACAACAGCAAGCAAGTTTTTCGTTCTTATTCCATTTCTTTTCGCTTATTTATCTAATTTACTCGTATGTGTTACTCAGATTCCAAGTGTAACAATTCCAAGAAGAGAAAAAATCAAATAAAAAAATGGAATTCGTATTTGGAAATATGAATTTTCCTTACTGAAATTGTGCGGAATATTGACTTGAATATGAAAAATCAACTTAACTTGTTAAACTGCAAGTGCAATTGGAATTGTGTTGTTAATAATTATCTAAATAGTTTATAAATTGACTTGATGAATATTTACTTTATAAAACAAAAATTAACTTAACTCGTTAAACTGCAAGTGCAATTGGAATTGTGTTGTAAATAATTATCTAAATAGTTTATGAAAAATTGCATTTGAAACTCATACGTTATGTCTCGCAAGCTTGTGAGCTTACAACTTGTAAGTTACAACAAAATTGTTGTACCATAAACATCGCATGTAAGAAGATATATACATAGTACTTGTATTTGTCGCTAATACACTAAGTTGTTATTTAACATTTTTAATGGCACGACAAAGCTCATCGTGCGTGAACATTGTTTTTTGTTGCTTTTTACGATTTGGAAGTTAATAACTTTTGAATTGTTCTTTTGCATAAGTTAAGAATATATACATACATAAATGCAAGCTAGTTCTGAATTTAAGTAACAGGTGAAGGTAAGTCGATAAGTTGCTGTTGGCCTTAAACATGAAAACTACATCGTATAAACTTCTTTTTTTGTTGGCCTTGCTGTGGTTTTAAAATTTGTAAAAATATTTTATTTATTCATAAACACTGGGTCGCTTGTCTTTTGGGATTGTGTTTGCTGTTGTTGTTGCAGCAGAAAATCCAACATCATACACGGTCGCAGCATCATTAACAAAACACTGAGGCAGCTCATCAGCTCATCAACAATGGCAACAATAACAACAACAACAATAATAATAATTGTATAGCCGCGGCATCACTTTCACTGACTTCTTTTGTTTTTTCCACGGATGTGTGGAGTTATTTTTAATTAATTTTTTGCACTTTTAATTTTATTGTGGTAGCTTGTCGCTGCTCTAAGCCATGTTAGGCGAGAGCTGGCTAAGTTTCCATTTCTTAGGGCACCCCTCCTCACACACGCACTCACACACACACACACACCTAGAACTTTTTCCCATTTACTCGTAATTTCCACTCCAACTCGCAATTACAGTTACGTTCGCCACGGCACTTCCACATTCAAAGTTTTTGAGCTCGGAATGTACTACTTGGCGTGACTTTAGGCCAGTAGCGTGGCTCGACGAATACTGCGCCAAAGACCCATAGCCAGAGCAGCTAAAGGCTTTGGAGCCAAGTCTGTGTTGCCGGTACGACGTCGACGTGGACGTTGATGTCAGCGTTGGCGTCGGTGTCGGTGTCGGCCGCAGCGTCAACATCGTCATCGTGCTCGGCAACAGGTTGAAGACTCACGAAGCGCAGTCGGCACAGACACACATACACACTCACCTGCCCATGTGTTACATTTGATTGCCTCGTTTGATTGAAAGCTGCATAACAATTGTTTTGTGTGCGTTATTTGCAATTAATTTGCAAGCACGTGAACGGGCCGCATGCAATTTTTCTTTCTTCTTTCATGTACTTTGCTTTTGTCCGCTATTTACTTATTTGCAACTGTAAACATTTCAACATTCAAACTCAAATTCTAGTGTTATAAGCAGGCACCTAAAAATGTGCGCAGACAATGTCGCCATTGAAAGCGCAGCGGAAGAATTTTTCTCATCCAAATGCAACAGCAAGTATTTACATCTTTACATTAGAAATGTGCCGACGCGTCGCGTTAATGATCATGTAGAGCAGGGACGGCGCGGGGGTGCTGTATTAATTCAAAACACGTGTTTTTGCTTGTGAGTCAGTCCATCTTTCTTTGCGGTTTAAAGGCACACATTCGCGTGCACACACACAAACACCCATTCGCATAGAATTGAACACTGACGCGTTACGTTGTCCGTGCTGCCCCAATGAACTCGGCAGCTGGAAAAACTTCCAATGGCAATTCCAAATCAAGCCATGTCAAGTTAAACATGTGAGGGGCGGGTGCCTGAAGTTTCTTTTTAGATTCAATTTTATCAGAGAGTGTAATCATAAAAGGAGTTTTTGTTTTAAATTACAAAATAATGTTTATTTATTTGAGTTATACTTTACAAATTTTATCCACAAAATAATTATTTTTTGTTAAATTTAAAATTCAAACTCATTTTATAAATTAGTTTATTTATTAGCAGATCCATTTTCGAAGCTATCTGAACCACTCTGTCAACAAGACGATTCACTTTTAATTTTATTATCTTAACGATACTGTTAACAGACAACTCTTTGTGAGAAAGGCCATAATATTCGTACTTTATTCGATAAAACAATCAATTGAGTCCAGCATTATTATTATATGAACTCAGCACTTCAATACTACTAACACGAAGACTTAGGAAGTTGATATGAAATATTTCTATTTTGGATAGTCGGTAATGCGGTCTTGAATTTTAGGAACATCCAATTCTTTAAACACAATAAATTATACAAATAAAAACGCATGAATTTAGTAAAAAATTAATAAATTGATAAGTAAAAAAAAATCCGTGATCAAATCCAAACTGGCGGTCTGTGCTTCGAATTATTATATTACGCAGAAGTCGGAAAATTAAGTGAATGAACATTCAATCGGAGTTTAAGTTACATTTTGAGGCCAGACACTTTTTGAATGTGCCTCGCGTGAGTTAATGTAGTGTGTGTGTGTGTGCTGTCCACAAATACAGTCCGTTGTTTAGCATGAGTATGCTAAACTGCTCGGCTTTGGCTTTAGACAAGAGTCTAGAGCAAGTCTAAGCATACTATTGTGAAACGGGGTTAATTGGGCTTACGAAACATTTTGGGCGTCAAGACAATCGAAATTAAATAATACATGCATAAAGTAAATTATTAAAGTATTCATGACAAAGTGTTATTAAAAACTTTGCACTTCAAACCATTCAGAATTAAAAAATAATAAGCTAAGACTAGTAATAAACTAAAGTATGTGAAAAAGGTAAGATCTGACATCAGGTTCCAAACAAAACATTTAATGAATGAACTGATTACATGAATTTTTGAATTCCAACAGGACTGAACCCATTAAAAATTATATTTAAAATTGCGATCCTTTTATAGTTACGCCGTGTGAATTAGTCTTCACTGACGTGACTTATATATGCGCCAAAGAAATTTATAAGTTTTTTCTAATTTAATCAAAATCAATTTGTATTTTAGTTAAATATGTAAATGTATGGGGAAAGAGACAGGTATTCAAGAGTCGGGCTAGCACGACTTAAACGATCTATGACGTCTTTGTAAGATGAATGAACCAATCATTTCCATGACAAAATAAAAACACCGACGTTACAAATTATTCATATTATTCATAAAATTTTTAAATAGACGTAAATGATTTTGTTATTTCCAATTTTATCTTTTATTTTTTTATGATGTTAAAACTTTTTTATGTATTTGTATAAAGATGTCCATATAGGAACGAAATGTGATTATTATAAATTGAATTAAATAGTAAATATCCTTACATTTTATCCGGACAATTGGCATACAAAAGGTACTGTTATGAATTTTGGTTTTGTCGTATTTCCAAATTCGACAAATAAATTTTTAGGAAAGATATTGCCATAAATGTAATCTCTGCCAACGCTTTGCCCGCAGCTGTTGTTTGAGGAGCTGCTTTGGCTCAGTTTTATAATTTTTCAGTGTTATTGAAGATGTACATTAACTACTATATACATATATAATTATTACCTATATAATTATTATGTTTTTAGTGGAAGTGGGTACACCGTGTTTATTTGTCAGATTCCATTAACCAGCGTATTACAATTTTCGGAAATGTATATTATTTGTCCCTTTGTTGAAATGGTTGATTTGATATACATTTGGGAATAAATCTAAATTAAGTGCAGGATCACCGCCAATAATAATCCGGCACAGCAATGCTTGTGTGGAAGACATTTTTTTGACGATGGGAGCGTGTGTACGAGCACTTGTGCCCTGGTCTTCTCCCATATTTTTATGACATTCCCAATCCCTAGCCAAAATGCCCAAAAAAGTAAGGAAAAAAGAAGCAGCATTAAATGGCTTTTTTCACACATTGCCAGGCATAAATGTCAGCTCATATTTTGCAGACCGCTGCTTCTATATAAAGAAACTGCATGTGCATGGCCATATTTATATACTTGTACATATGCAGATATTATATATGTACATGTATGTATATGTATTTTATAAAGAGGAACTCCTACGCAGTTGCTGCTTCTCTGTCTGCCTCCCTGCCCCTGCCCCTGCCACGCTCTTTTGTGTGAAACACTTGAATAGCGTTGTATTTTGTCAAGTGGCTGGCTGGTGGCCTCATCGGCACTGCAGGCTTTAACTCGGTCCCGAGATCATCAAAACAACATCGTTAGTGCGCTTATAATGAAGTACTAAAGAGCGACCAAGCAAATCTCGAAAATCTCAAGTGCAGCCAAGTGATCACTGTCGATGTTTTATGTCTCCGTCTCTGTCTCCGCGCTTGGCACATGATTAGTATTAGAGACCCACTGACGCCTGGCATTACAGCCTAGATGTTGACTGCGCTGTGTGTGAAAAGTGAAATTCTAGACACAATCCTATATCCCTCAAGCGAGTTCGAGTAGAACAAAAAATATAAATTTCGTGTCTTCTATTACTACGAATGGCAAATGAATGATGCGACCGTGAAAAGCGTGGCATCAGCATCCATCAGCGACGCATATAAATTGTTTTTGTCGATAAACACACACACGCACCCGCACACAAATGCACATATGTGTGTATGTATGTATGTATGTTGGTAGTACATATTCATATACTAGTCCATCTTGGGGACGCTCCCGCGCTGTCAGAAATTAATCTTTGCGGCAGCCGCCAGATGTTGCCTGCTTGCGGTTTCTCTGTATAGTGATGGGATGAGAACGGGGGGTCGAGAAAGTCGAGGAAGGGCTGGCGAGGCGCAGTGTCAAGCGTTTACATCAACTATTCCCAGAAATGTTGTACCCACGGTAGCCATTTTGTTCATTCATGCATTAACGAGTTTTTTACATTTAAACCAATTTTGTTTTTCATTTGCAATTTCGGACAGAAACGATTTTTAGTTACTTCCTGACTGACTATGGGGCCGCTGCAAGTCACTAAAATGTTTTGTGTAAATAAATAAACAAACATTAACGTGTTGGTTCGACTCCATTGTTGTTGTTCTTGTTGTTGCCGCGACCGCCAACGCTGAGGCACAGCAGAAGAAGACGTCGCCGCCGCCGCCTGCTTGCGCCTTTCTGTTATAGCTCTGTGCTTTTTTATGGACAGTTTTTTGTTTATAGACAACTACATTCATAGCCATGTATTTACTAATGTATATACACACATACATCCATATGTATGTACATACTTGTATGTATGTGTTTGCGTGTAGTTGGCTTTTTATGCGAACTGCCTGTGCGCATCTTCGGCTGAAAAAATATAAAAGCAAAATATTTATGTATGTGCTTCCAGTTTGGTGCTGATGCCTGCTCCTGCCCCTGTCCCTGTTCCTGCCCCTTTTCGCGCCTTGGCGCAATTACATGATTTTTTATGAATTTGTATGCTTACACACTCTCAGATACACACACGAACACATGTGCACACTGTACACTAGATCGCTGTTCTGTTCGTGTTGTTGTAGAGATGCTGTTGACGTGCCCGCCATTAGTCAGCCTGCTGCTTTATGAACTTTGATCGTTGATTGATCGGTGATTGCACTCGCAAATGCAGGCGGCAGATGCGGCAAAAACAACAACAATACCGGCAACAGAAACAGCAACAACAACCTACTAAATCAACTATCAGTGTGCATTTAGTCTGACACACCTCTGCATATACATACATACATAAATATATACTACTTATATGTATACATACACTGCCGATCAACTGAATAGGTTTAACGATTCTCAAAAGCTAAAATAGTTATATGTATCTGTATAAGAAAGTATTTAAAAAGTATAATTTTTTCAATTCTGTTTTTTAATTTTTTCAAAAAACACATAAAATGTCTAGTAATTTTGGCTCATTTGAATAAGTTCAGTAATTTAAAAACTAAAAAAATAAATGGCCAATTGAGCATCTCAACATTTTGGTCCTTCATCCACGGTTTAATGTCTCTTGCGGTATGAATGGGAGCGTTTTCTTGTTGATATAACCATGGAATT